CTCACAATAATTCAAATAGCTAAAATCGCAGCTAGGAGCTTAATTATCAAGACTATTTCACAGGTAACAGTACACAGTCAGCCTGTATTATACTTTTAAGAATGAATTCCCTATTTTCATTTCTGTCGGGACATCTAGCCCACGTCATTCCAAGCCACACGCGAAATGTAAACTCACTTCTCCCGTGCAGATTTGATCTGAAAATATTCCTATCACGTGCTTCTGGCTAGACTCTCCAAATAAATTCACTAACTCATTTTATATAACCCTTTATAACCCTTGTCATCATCGAAATGAACTACGGAAGAACCAACGTTCCACGCTTTAAAACAGTCATTAGTATTCCCTCCCAGCTGTAGTAGCTCCATGACTGACACTTCCGACCAATCCTCAGATATTTTACTTATCGAATCATTCTACCATACAACGCCTAGTCCTGTGGATCTTACGAATGAATCATTTTTACCCTTTTCATTGACTATCACATCTCTTTACCGAGGATCACTGATTAATGATGACGAATAATGCGCAAATCTCAATTCCATAAACGTTGAACAAAATAACTTTATTCCCCAAGTTGGTTATAATTTATCTAATTTCATTGTCCCATCACAGCTTTCCATCACTTTATTTGATCCGTGCTCTCCAATAAAATGGTGAAGCTTAAATTTCTAGCTTACATGGTCAATCAATGCTGCATCCTAACTGATGAAACCTGGTGCACACCTAATATTTCCGACCTAACATTGTATGTAAATGTTTAGAAAATGTACCGTAAAAATCGAAATCATCAATCAACCATGTTTCTTGAGTTTTCCTTCGATCTCCACAACTACTGATGGTATTGCATACATTTTGTCATAGAAACACCTTGATTCACAACTCAGTAAAGAACCATTACCGATCGTAACAATAGTTTACTCAAAGTAGGACGCATCGTTTTATCGTAGAATTACAGAAGGTAAATCCTTTCAGAAATATATAAATATACACAGTATATTTTTGCTGTATGATGCCAAATTCAAAGCGTATATGATCACGTATATATATTTGTTTGTCTCTTTCGACCATTTTCCAGGACCACAATCCTACAATCTCAAAATGTATTGTTGGGACGGCTTCCGAGAACTACGACGGAACCTTCAGAGGCCCTAGCGGGGTCGAATCCAATCAAAACGTAACGGAGCTTTATAGGATATCAACGTGGCATACTAGTATTGGCCAGTAACGTAACATACCTCATTGCGGATTAGTTGAATTATAACGTCGATTTAACAGACGGTAATATCAATAGACTTCCATAATTTTCTGTACATTTTGATTCTTGCCCAACAAGCACTTTCTCCAGTTTTCTTCTGACTTCTTATTTACGACTTGGAGAGTTCTAACGTTCGAGTGCTCAAGTTATACACGGTGTATCAAGAATCTAAGCTCTAAATTCAATACATATGTAGTCATGTATTATGAATAATTCTGCTTCATATTTTACATGCTTTTTCTTAAATTGCATTCGAATGCTATAACCAACATATTTTCCGGACTTACTTGTTCAGTTCGTAGACAGACGACTCACTAACCTTGTGAGTGCTGTTGAACTATGATCGATCATAAGAAGCACATATTTTTAAATTATTTAGATAGATAACTTACTAGACTTACCGATTCGCCCAACTATAGTCGGCCACCAAGGGACTCCCACTACTATTCTAAAGAGTTGTCAAGATAACCTTGTAATCCCCAGTCGACTACCAGTGGTCTTTGGTGGATGGCACAAACTAACATCAGATTCAAGTAAATATAAGTTACCTCTTGTTTATTTTTCATCAGCTGTCTACATTTACGTACACTGCGTTGACTCACCACTAATTTTATTTCATCACCAATCGCCCTATTTATAACTACTACATTTCTACACTTTTCCGCCCACTTCGTTAAACACTTGTCCTGCACTATACCCTTCTTAATGCTTATATTTGGTTGGCAACCCGTATTTCGTACTATTGTAGTATCTGGGCTACCTGTTCCTCCTATCTAGATATTTCTTCAAGTTATCTGTTTTGTCGTTTGTTTTAGCACATCATTATGTCTTTTGTGATCATAATCTATTCAGGCGTGTTTATGAAAAGTTTACAACCTTTCGCTATACGGGACACAAAAAGGTACAATCAGAGATATTATGGTGGCTGGCAATATGCATTGAAACGAATGAACATTAATCAAATGTGGATTAACGAACTCCTAACATCTACCTGGTCATCATTCAAAATTTATCGTAACAATCGATCAAGATATAAGAAAAGGAAACTTTTTGAAATACTTTATGCTGAGAATTCTATGTTGTACCAAAAATATGATGTTGAATAAAGCTTCTAATAAAAAAAGTATTGCATCAAAGCATTACCACCAGTCATTAGTTTGTAACCGCCTGATAATCTTATAAAGTGGTACTTATAGAAATAGTGTTATCCAGCAGGGTGTGAAACATAGAGCATCGTGTGAAATATTATATTTGATCTAAAATTAAACCTTAATGAGCCTAAAATCTCTGAAGGGGGGAGGGCGAAGCTACTGGCACTTCTCGTGAGGACGATGACCTCAACCCACCATATATGTGGTACAGAACATCTTGTTCGCTTCGGGCTTTTGTAATTAAGCACGATGCAATCAATGGATGATACTGAGGTTGTCCTCCTGCGCTCTCCAATCTGAGTCGTGTTTCGAACTTTATTTTGAATTTTCTATTTCGCTAAGGTAACCTGTAACATACTAGCAGACGTTAACAATATGATCTAGTGGCTGACATCAGATGAAAAAAAGAAATAAAAAAACATTGAAAGTTGTAGTCATCGGAGGATTTACTCTAACGGCAATTACAGCCAACTGATCTAGTCGCTCACTGCAATAGCATCACTAACAAATGCGACATTTGACTGGATTCGTGAAGCGTTTATTTGGTCGTTATATACACACAAAATGACAGCCCAGAGTCTAAGTAATATTATTATCTTCATGCGCAACCTCAGGTCAATGGGACTGCTTGCAAGTGAAAACAGACAGTTCAACATAGAAAATAAGTATTTAAAGCAGTTTCGAAATGACATTAAACAGAAAACTCCATGTCAAAGATTTAGGTCTGCAAGAAACCGTACAGTTCCCTAAAAAAATTTACTAATAACTGTTGAGTCTAGTCTGATTATATTGTAGATCACCAACGTAGGTGATCCATATTGTATGACTGGGGACGTACTCGAATTAGACGGGAATGGTGTAAAGAACCAGCTAACTTCGAAGTTACACCTCACAGTCAGCATCTAAAGTGGATTACCCCTTCAACATATCAAAGTATTATGGCCGCATTGAAAACCATGTTACACAAAGGACATTATTATGGAAATATATTAGTAAGAATGAGTACAGAGATAGCAAGAACACCACCTCAAGGGTCAGTCCATGGCATACGATTAACTGATACGTATTGGTTGTCCTTGACCATGCGAGGGGTCGATGACCTGTTCGATATTCAGCAACCCAACTGCCTGATGATTTGGCTATGGCTCAGTGACATTTCACTGGCCCCACAATATAGAGTTTCCTGAAGTTCGCATTTATCCATTCTCTTTGGTTTGTGTTTGTGTTGTCTATGATTAAGACTTACATATTCAACTTAACCAAGTAAGACGCTGTTAAAACCGTACAAATTAAGCAGGATTTCTTTCAATATCTGGGGCATTTTCCTGGAAATTATACAGTCAGCCTCTGATGACACTTGGGTTCTTTGGGTAGGTCGGTTCACTACCACCAACAATTGGCATTGGAGTTGAATCAAAAGTTTCCGACACATAAAATCTACCCAGTATATCGGTGATTTATATTATTCCTAAGGTCAGAGGTGATGCGTGCCTTCAAAAATGTCACTATCAGTGTTGAGTAACTGCGGAGTTACTTAAGACCACAGACATCTTCCTTTATGTAGATTAAGGGATGGATTTACATTGGTATCTCGAACCATCAGTCGCTCAAAGACAACTTATCTTCTGTTAAGATCTTCGCTCGACAACCCCTGAGATTACCAGTCAATTTTACAAAGACCACAATGGAATAAATGTAGATTGTGATTTAGCAGATCCAGAAAAGTCCTCTATGACTGGAACGATCTGCTCGGGTAACTCCTCTCTTGTAGTATCCCAAGTCGAAAAAGATTTAGGAGTCCAGGTGCCCTACGATTTAAAGTCTTACTCTAACTGTGACAAAAATGCCTTCCGATCAAACCTTGCATTGGTAACATTGAAGCTCATTTTTGGCCAGTTTGACGGGAGAACTTTCCACACAATCTTCAATAGTTTCATCCGTCCCCATTTAGAGTACGGAAACATAGTATTTCCCCCTCACTCCAAAAGGATAAGGACACCCTGGAGCGTATCCAACGGCGAGCCACGAAATCAGTTCGAGGACTCAAATCTAAGCCTTACGAAGAACGCCTCCGTTCACTAGACCTTTACCCATTAGAATATAGGCGTCTTAGAGGTGATTTATTAATGGCTTATAGTATCCTTAACACATCTGGACATCCTCTCAAACACCTACTTAAGCTTAATCCCAGCACTAACCTAAGAGGTAACACCCAAAAACTGTAGACACAACATAGCAGAACGGACTGTAGAAACAACTTCTACTCATTAAGAGTTGTCAAATGCTGGGATTCGCTGCCGGCCGAGCTAGTCCAAGCGACTTCCCAGGAGTCCTTTAAGAGGCAACTTGACCTATTCTTAAGGACCAAGAACAGCATCACATTATGATTTACCAATCTCTTTTCCTCTTTTATTGTTAACATACCTAGGTTCCTGCCTGGAGGATTTGGTGATCCCCTGCTACTAGACACGGAAGCCTGTTAAGCGAAAGCTTCTTCTATTCCGTCCACAACCATTTGAACCATTTGAACCATTTGAATATTGATTCAACATCCTTGCCGGATTTTCTAGTTGTGCGTTGCTTGCTGTTAAATGAATGACGAAGATGCCCTTGCAGATTTCCTAGCTCATAAAAAGCGTCTAACAGATATATTTTTCCCTAATTCAAGATCAGCTATTATTTCTCAGTGGGTTATCTCGAATATTCAGCATTACAATTCTGACAGTGATACGAGTGCTTACGATGAATTTTGGAAATTTTTGCTGAGATTGCAGAAAATTGTCAGAAAAAGTTTTTCTGAAGGTTTGTAGAACTTCAAATAATATTTTTCAAAGGTCTTGATGGGTGTCTTTTGAGTAAGAAGTCGAAGTTGAACATTCAGACGAGCAATTATCGTCTAGAGGACTATATTAGACATAGCGATGTTTCAAGTAATAAAATTTAAATCTAGGCCTCACTAAAAAGAAGGTTCTCGCAGATCTCTTACTCGTTCAGAGCTTGATTGCTTTCATCTCATATATGACATGTACCTCGATTTTCTTCTGAAGCGCAAGGTATATTTATTTTTAAGTTGTCATATGAAAAATATTCTTCAAAACCGTTTGGTGGCTCCATACTATTTTTGTGGTGTCGTCTCCACAAGAACGTTCCGGTATCGTCTTTGTATTAAAGCAAACCTCCAAGTGGAGGTGATATTTTCATTAACTGTGTTAACACGTATGGTGTCTGGATGAGACTATGATTTGAATTTTCGAAAGGCTTACAAACTAAGCGTTTCAAATGATGCCATTGGGATTAGTATGTAGAGCGAAGATAGACTTTAGGTAAAGTATGCAACATGTTCTGACCATATCCTATGCCGCTTCTAAGCATTTAATGATTTCTCACCTATACTAAGCATTCTAGAGCTAACATCGTGTCACCGATGACATCTTTAAGACAAGTTATAAGAAAATAAGTGTTTATTGGTAAGGATCTGTTACCTTTAGCAATATTTTGCCAACTAAAGTATATGAATTTTGTTTTTATGCTGTAAATTGACATATAAGCTACCGAAGTTGCGTTTAGTAGGTTGACGATCGTTGTTTATGTGTATGAAATACGCCCACCATTTATACTTAAATTGACTTTATAAACCTAGTAGGAATCTGTCTAAACCATTATAGGTAGTTGCACATCTTTCTCGGGAGGTTTTTGTGATGATGTGCAATTAGATGGAGTCGGTCTACATATAGTGAAGGGTACAAAGATTCATTCCAATCTAGACCACCTTCAAAGTCGTTGCAATGCTAGTCTGGGCATAGGTTGGGCATAAAATCATGCTATCAGTTATGCTTAGTGCGTGTAAACGTGGTATTGTTAACTTGAGCATGTTTGGTGATTTACTGTTCTATCGACGTTCTCAAAGGACCGTTCACTCTTATATTAATAATACTTTAGCCATTGAGATATTTAAGTGGATGCATTAGCGGCTCGAGCATGATAGATTTCATCTCAGTGGTTTTCATATCATATGGCATTTGCTTACTGCGATAGGATGGAGAAATCAAATCGATATTCAGTTTATAATATGGTACAGAGAAATGAATGATAAACTGGTATCTGTTGGTCCACCATTATTATGTGGATAGAATTTTAAAAACACATCTCAGTAGCGTGAAAAGTTACCAAACATAAATGAAAATATAAATCCGTGGCGATCACTTTTTAGTTCATTTTTGAACTGGTTGTTTAAATCTTCCCTGAGTGAACATCAACTCTGGGATACAGGTACATTCAGCTAACGAGTCTCAAATAAGACGAAACATGCATCCTGGATTCCATGGCTAGCCACCATCCGTTTCCGCTTATGATGATCACACCTTAGTTTTCCATTTGGTTCTTCATTAAAATAAGATGCGCGTATTATCTGAAAAGTAGCCTTAGTTTTTTCCCACCTAATTAAAGTATATTTTTGAATATATAGTATTCTTATTTATTTATTGATTTTGCGACACTTTCCTGTTTTATTCACCATATTATTTCGCTCTGTTTGGTGTTGTTTTAGTCCCATTTTGTGCCAAAACGTCTTATAATATGAAGATAGGAATAACCGTTCATTTGTTATCTAATATTTCTTACCGTCATTGATAAATGGTACTAGATAATAGTCTCATCTACAGTAAAATTTGAAGTAGGTTAGCTATTTAGTATGTTTAGACTATACTAATGTCATCAAGACTGATTAAATTTACTGAGTTATACAGTGAAGTCATTAAACCACAACCTTGTTTCAGTTAATAACAAATCCAAACAAACATTAAAACAACACTGACTTCGGAAAACGTGGCTTTTTGTTTTAAGTATTCTTACAATGGCATTGAGGATGTTCGGAAGAAAGAATTTTGCCTGTATTTTTAGTTAACTGTATTGTATTAGATGCTTTCAGTTAGTTTTAGTAAGTCTAGACAAAAAATTTGAATTTTTCGTATTTTAGTTTAGCCCATACAAGGTTTACATAGTTAGGAACGGCCAAACCAGAACGTGGTATCAGTCATTGAAGTCACTAATGTCTAGATGCAGCCATGTTGGTAGATGCAGACTACTTAGTTGGGGTCCGCGTGACTTCATAGCCAATGTTTGGAGACTCTGGGTGACATGGCTCAGAATCAGTCACAATGGCATAGGTGTATACACTCTTTGTCTTCCCTTAAACCATGAGATTAAAATTACTTTATACCTTTCTTCCTAATTCTTTCTTCTTGTATTATATCCTTACACACAATCTTTCTTTTATATATTACCATCAGTGAAATAACTACTCTTATCAATTTGGTGTTCATCTTGTGTTAATGAGGTATGGCAACTTGGACTGATGCATATATGTGCCTGGTCCTACGTTGTAGCTGACTGACTGACTAACGACGTTTGCATTTGTGTACTAGGCTTTGAGGCACACAGTTTGTGTATTACCCAACTAAAGTAATGTGATCGGTGTTCAAACATGTGTTACTGGTTAGAAGGCTAGTGCTTCGACCACCAAGCCTCTGGGTTTCTTCTAAAAGGATATTCACGACGGAATTATAGTATAGAGTCAGCATTATCAATTAAAGCCATCCGACTCAAATATTTCGATTGAGAACAACTGGAGGGAATTCTTTCTAACATCTGTAACTTAAACTATCATTTCAGCCAAGAACTGTGGCTTTTTCCTGGTTGATATTTGTTAAAGCTATCTTAAGTATATTAAAAGTAAAGCAGCTCTAGCAATGTCTAGTTAGGCAAGCTATATAATTGATGCAGTCAAGTGTCCAGGTATATGTCCTTATATTTGGTTTCTAATCATATCTTTCTGTAGCTGATTGCCAGTACCGCTAACTGGTTCTCAATTTAAGTCTCAGCATACCAAATTTCAGCTGCAAGTTTGTCTGAATCGTCTAGAGTTTTGATTACTACACATAACTGCTCTAAAAACGACCCAACAAGCCGTCTTTCTTGGCTGCACTTCCTTAACAGCCAGATTTTTTCGTTACTGCGAGCAAAGATTCGATGAAAGTATCAGTAATCTACCATATTAATTTCTTTTTCTAATCGTCTGTAACATTTAATTACATTTGAGGAGTAATCGTATTAATTATATCTGTTGGTGATAAATGGTTACATTTATGATATTTCGTATCTCTATTTATTCAACAAATTATTGGTCAACTAATGTCAAGTACTACTCAGTTTAATATATCCGAGTCCGAATACTAATCAGTGTAAATCATTTCAAAATTAGTGTATTCAGACACCAGTTTGATTCATTTTTACTTTCAAATAAATCCTCATTTAATACCTCCGTGTTTCTATTCCCATTCTTCGATTCATAGTTTCTTGTTGAAGTACCAAAATATTTGGTAGTAAGAACAGTTGTAATCTTTGTACTCCTAACAGGTTTAAGGGATTTTTTAATACCGCTCATTACCACTGTATTCTCCGTTTCTTTTGTTATCACATCATGTTTTCCGATGTGATATATAGTATAGATATTCAAATATTCGGAATACAGTTTTAATCACAATTTCAACAGACTGCAGTTGCCAGTTCGTTAGGTCATATAGTTAGCACCCATTGCATTAGTGGGGTTTGTTTTTAAGCAATTCTTTACCAAGAGGGTAGGAAGTAAAGTGTGAAGATAATGACGGGGCTGACGGTCTTGAGCAATCGTTAGTCAAGTGCTATTTCAAAGGAGCAGATGTTTAACAGTTCTGTTATCTTCACTTATTGTGTGATTGTTGGAAGATTTAGCCAAATATTGATGATGATTGTAGATACACGACTATCTAGGTCTTGATAATTAAGGTACAGTATTAAGAAAGATCCTGGTTTTTGTTGGGAAATTATTCATATTACACACAGCAAAGCCAACACCAAAACTTTTCCTTCAAACTTAAAGTTATTGCTAGTTACTGAAACTGTAATGCTCACTGTTTGTGGTCTTATCTATGTTCAGTCACGTTTCTTAATCCGGTAGAATATACCTTTAGGTAGATCCAACCTGCTGGATCGGGACTTGGTACTTATCTATTTCTGAACTTCAGTTATAACCTAAAGACATGAGAACATCTCTCCTATATTACTAAATTCAGTCACAAGAGAATCGTTTTAAGCAATAATCTTCTGTAATTTGTTCCAAATGTCTCAGGAAACCTCTCAACTAGTCTGAAATAAATGATCTTTGTTTTCGTCTAACATGCAAGATTAATTTATTACTTTTCACATTCGTTGTTAGGTTAGTCCACAGCTACTTTGATTTGTTTTTCACTAGTCAAGGCTTTTTTAGTACGGGAAAATATCGAACAACTAAGTGGGGTAGTTTTACACACTTGTATGACTAAAATAGAAAGCTTTTCAAACTAGAAATGATCCATCTTCACTTAACTAAGTTTTGGGTCTTCATTTATTCCTTATCTGTTTTTCTTCAGAAAAGGCATTGATAATTTCACCCAGAGTTGTTCGCAAATATTTAGTAGAAATCTTTATTCTAATTTTTTTCATGGCCACACATTTTATTTGATAAGTATCTTTGTATTTTAATTATCGATTAGTTCGCTCGAATTGTGAAACTTAGAATAGATCAAAGTGTTCTACCAATCGCTAACTTTAGAACAGAATTATTATCTACACTATCTAAACACCAAGTTGTGATAGTTGCTGGTGATACTGGTTGTGGAAAGTCAACACAAGTACCACAGTACCTATATTATGGTGAATCAAACTCAAATGATACACCTGGACCTAACTCCTATCAAAATATTGCTGTTACTCAACCTCGTCGCATCGCGTGTATTAGTTTGGCCGCACGTGTAAGTACTGAGATGTTGAATGAAAGAGGCTCCAAGGTTGGATATCAAGTAAGTTGGGACGAGATTTTAAAAATACTTTCTAGTTATCATGATACTTTTAATTTTAATAAACAAGACTTACCTTTTATAGAACTAGTTTAAAGTTATATGTCCTGTTGTCAAATGATTTTGAATATCTGTACTGAGATTCAGGTGCATTCACTTAACGTGCCCCATGTATAGGGAAGGGATTCATATCTTGGATCCCACTTCTATCAATGATCCAAATATCACAAAGCTTGTAACTTAGAGGCAATGTCGGGGCATCTGTTCACGATGAATGTACGCAAACAAAAATTTATCAAAGTATAATCATGAATAATGGCAACGGGAAACACAAACATATAAATTCGCTGTTCTCCTGATACATTCTGGTTGAATAAAGATTTTGACAAATTTTAAAAGATCGGTTTTCGGGTTTTAACTTTTCTCACTTATTTTGAATAATATGATTTGCAGTGTATACTTCAATTAAAGTCTAATATACCAATGACAACTGATGTGGACTGCCAAGTTCATATCTGATTGGAAATGCTAATGTAAATGTATATCACCCAGTGTATGGTTTCATATTAAATGTAACGTACTTTGCAGATTTCCCTACTAGTCACTACCAAAATAATATCATAACTTTCCTGAAGATAATATCTTGATGTATGTATCAAGAATCAGATCTTTTTGATCTGATATTATGAAAACCTATGAATAAAAAGGACAGTGATTGATGACTTTAATTGTCATCAATTTTCAGAGCGGAATTAAATTTGTTTTCATCTTATTATATAAATGTATGAATTTATTCTACTAACAAAATACGCTTATATTTTTCTGAAAAATATTTTATTAGGTCCGTTTTGAACGAAGTCGAACTAAGGCTACACGAATTCTTTTTCTCACAGAAGGTTTATTGTTACGTCAAATGCAGATGGATCCATTTTTGAGCGACTATGATGTCATCGTTCTTGATGAAGTAAGTAAGGATGTTATGTGTTTAAATATGAAATTTGTTCCATGTAATGCTTTGAATAAACTTATAAAACTAAAGATAAATTAAGCGAATTGTATAATTCGGAAAGGAAATTTGTGTTGAGTTAGATAAATTCAGGCATGAAATTTTTTTTACTAGTACTATGGATTTTCTTCACAAGTAGTTACCAACTTGCCAACATAATTTGGTGAAATCTCCGTATATTATTTAACTGTGAGTTATATACTAAATTATTTAATCCGTTTGAATTTTAGCATTCGGTGGGATGAACAAATGGCAAGAATTTCACACATAAGTTACCTAAGTAAAATTTGTGTGTTTTATGGATAAATATTTTAACTATCTTATAGAGGACTAATAGGACGGGAATTTTGTTTACTTAAGAATTTCTGTTGATCGTTCCCAAACACTGTGGTATCATATCATTTAACCTTTTCAAATCTACTCTTTGATTGATGTGGTACTTTCAAGATATAATTTTCTTTACCATGTAGTCACCTCTAAAAATAGTATTATTTGATCTGTAACATCCTCAATACTTTTTACTGAATATCAAACAAATATCTTCCCTTCATCATCAACCTTCTAAAACAAACGAGCTAATTATCCTCAAGAATCAAGCATGTTTCAGAAGCTGAAATCAGGTAAATGAAATTTGACGGATCCAACTTAATGGGCGAGTACAGACTAGTTTATTAGGGTTTTATATTTATTTTTTAACGGTAAAATACGTCTTTTAGTTGTACAAACTGAAGTAGGTGAAAAGGGGTAAGTTTCGGACTAAGGAATTAAAAATTAAGTCCTTCGACTATCCAGTTACAGTTTCACAAGAAGTCATTTCCGGAGCGCTAGAACTTACTAAAAATTAATATTTCACTGGTCAATGTAGCCAGAGTACACATCAGGAAAAACACCAAAAAAAATCCTATCTCGTAGAAACTATTCTTTGGATAATTTATAATGGTTTACAACTGATGAAATTCTGAAAATCGCGGTATACTTTCGAAATGTTCTGGCTTGAATATATTAAAAATTAATGGATTTATCTAAAATAGACTCGGCTTTAGGCATTTATTGAACAGAAGCTCAACCAGAAACTCAGACCTTAAATAACAAAGTTTTTGAATAAATTCCCAAATTCAAACAATCAAACAGTTGTTAACATAGTTAATTGTAGCAGAAATGTAATTCTTGAAACAAAGATTTCTTGAATTCTGGTTGAAAATTTTCCACAAATTAGTTCAGCTTGTTTAGTCTCATCATTATTTCGTGAACATCAACATATGTTATATAAGTTTCAGAATTTATTATGAGTAGGTTTTAGTGGGTAAAATGATAAATATGTTGTTGGTTGATAAAGGATGCAATCATCTACGTGGATCCCCAAGCGAACTGGCTCTAGAATATGATTCAGTTGGTCAAGGAAATTAAATATTTCCCATGGCACACACAATATATCAGTACAAAAAATGATCATGAAATATAATTTGAAACGTAAGCGATCATACAGGTTTTTTTAGAAATCATTCACCAGCCAGTGGAATTAAGAGCTGGCTATTAGGCTTAACGTTTGCCCATCATATGAAGATGAAATGTATCTAGAGTTTCTTCATGAAAATCCGAAGCAATTTATAAATGCTAAGACTGTTCGGCGTACTTCATACACTAATTTGTTATATTCTCTGAAAATACTCTAGTTGTCCTCTTTCATTTCGCATTGGATATTATCAAGAGTAGAATCATACAGTAACAGTACCGATTCATCAAGCCATTTTTCTTGAGTGAGGTTGGTATTGTCTTTACTATCAATTTGACGATAAGGTAACTGTTTTGCTCCAGACATGACAAACAAGCAATAGGAAAATCATATCTTGTTGAGTTGGCTTTCTCTCCATATTGCTATCTTTTTCTTCTGGTCTAGCGTTTTTTTCTACCGAAATTCGACAGTTTGTGAATGGTTCAAAATATTTTTGTTATCGTCCAACTCATATTAAGTTTTCCATTTGGATTAGAACTTTTATTGGACTGTTTTATTTGGCAGCTTTCAGCGGATAATTCGCGTATACTGCGATGAAATAATTAAGAGGGATCCGTTTATTTTCGATGTATATTTTTAACGCTTGAATAATCCTGAGAGTTATGATGATTTTTATGTATCTGTATCTAATAAATGGTTGTAGACGAAATCCTGATTGATACTCTGACTACTTTTTTGTTTAATTAGTAGTCAACTTCAACATTAGAAATAAAAAAGTAAAATTATTTGCCCTTTGTACAAAATTTGTCTAGTGAGACATCATTTTTCCATAGTCCTCCATGTTTAATTGTGGGGCTAATTTAAACATAATGGTAGCTGATTTTTATATTGTCTAGTTTTATTGATGACTTCTTTCATTAATTTTAAATGTGACCACTAATTCAAATAACTGGACATCGCAATACACTTCGTCTTTTTAAGTGGTTATATATCATTTCCACTTGAATAACGCACCCAAGGTCAGTCGAATGCAGAGGATTATCTTGGGTTCCCGCGAGATTTATCTACAAGTGCTTATAGACAGCAAATGGTTCTATAGTAAATAGTAAGTGGCTTTGGTTAAGGAACTCACATTCATGCTGATAAACTCAGCAACAGCGGTCAGCTCTCAAAACAGACAAGCAAAAGTCCCATACTAGGATGGAATAGCCGTCTAGTGGTTATTTAACTAGGATTAGTCCAGGATGCTGATAAGTAAATTGACAATTGTTTTAGTTTTGGTGATTTCCTTGTTTTATATCTACTACCTAGGTAAAACCTCCAGTTCACTTGCTTGTGAATAATTTAATCGATTTTTATATATAAATACCGTTTAGTATCAATTTTCCTATCCCTATGTTAAACGACCTTTCAAATTTACAGGTGACACGCTTTAGACATATTTAAGCCGTAATCATTGTAAATATACACTATTTTAGTGTATAACGTCTAATTCACTTACAAATTATTTCTGTATTTCTAATTCTGGCTATTACAATACAATAATTATGGATTGAAAACTGTAGAGCCTAAGCTTATAGGTGTCAATGCTAAGGTTAGACTTGATAGTTTCAAATAAATTGAGCTTTAGGAAGAAAAGTTAACAGTCAATATATGTTTTGTTATATCCCAATGAGTAGAAAAATTGTATTTCTGACGTTTTGTGACTTCATATAATCCACTCCTTTAGAGCCTGACGATGAAGTTATTGAAAACAATTGTTCTCACAAATAGTCCTTGTCTTTTGAAAAAAATATCAATCCGGTAACTCATAATCTTATTCCTAATCCATATGCCTGTCTGGAAGGGCTTATAAATAAGACAAAGGACTTCATATTGTATCCTTCCACGATTCATCTAATTATTTACATATAGATCGTTCGGATTGATAAGATTTTGTCTTCATAAACCATAGACCATCGAAAACCTGGAAGCACTAGGTGGTTGAAGGTAGACATTAATACTGTTGGATACCGACTCGGTGGTCTTGTGCTTAAGCGTTCGCGCGAGATCATAGGCCCTGGCTTCGAGTCCCGCGTGCGGATCGTGGATGCGCACTTCTAAGGAGTTCCAGGTTAGGGCGAAACGACCGTCCAGTGCTTCTAGGTTTTCAATGGTAGTCCAACATTGATCGGCCCTTGATTTCAATGAAATTCAACAATCTCCACAACCTCATACTCAAAAGATTTGATTTGTAATGGAGAAAATTCCAACTTTTGGTCCATTTGACACAATATGAAACTAGCTTAGTATCTGTATCTTTCTGCTATAGTATAGTATATCTGATTCGACGAACAACTTTGTCTCCTAAATGACGATGTTCACAGCTGATTGTATCTTCTCTTATTTCCTTCTTTTGGTGTTTTTTAGCCATCATTGCGCTTAATTCATTTCATTTCCTAACTCTTTTTAATCACTGTATGACAAATCTAGTAAATAGAGCTTTAATTTCTCGTTTCCTGTTTTTGTCAATCATCTGATTGTAAGCACGATGGAAAACTAAGTAAAGGCCCTACCTATCTTTTTTCTTACTACTGACACTCCTCGGCTTAATGTAATATATATATATATATATATATATATATATATATATATATATATATATGACAGGAGTAATAACACTAAAATATTATTCCTTCCACAGGTACATGAACGTCACTGGCAAACTGATTGTTTACTAGGACTTGTTAAATGTCTTATAGTTGTCCGTCCAAAACTTCGTGTAGTTCTGATGTCAGCTACCATAAATGTGAACACATTTGCTAAATTTTTTAATGATTGCCCAATTATACAGGTAAATTTTTTTTACTTTCGTATTAACTTATGGCATAAAATGATTTAGAAAGAAATAATAGTGAAAATCTATGTAGAACAGACTGATGGTTTTGATGTTTATTCATTGTTATCATAGGACCTGGGAAGAATGTGTATCGATACGTGTCGTCATACTTCATATCAGCACGATGTGCGCATCGTAGGAAATTTTCTGTATTATATATAAAAAGAAAGAGATCGAGATCTACATATGAGAAATACAGTACGAAGAAATACTATAGGTATGAGAGTGAAACTTAAGGGTGACACTCAACTCATAATTTAAAAGAAGAAAAAGATAAAGAATAAATGCAACTATGTCATTATGACCAATGTTGCACCATGATTTCATAGTTGAATAATTTCTTATCCGGATTGTTTGATAATTGATGTTTCCTTTCCATATTAGGATCTATGCTTAGGGTAATATTCATATGGAAGTTTAAAAGTGAAATTTATATTTGCCTGTTTGTAACACTTTGACTTCATGCTCTCAGGAGCTTGAATGGAATTTACTTTGGTCATTTTAATTCAAAGTTGTTAGAACATGAAGTTGAATTTTCTAATGTAAATCTAAGTAATTCCCTTTCATGTTAAGCTTGCTTCTGACTTCTATCTTAGTTACTAAACTATCCAGTTGAGAGAAAAAAACTACTGAAATGACTATTGTTTAAAATTCTATTCACGACGTGTTGGGTGGGTTACGGATTCCCAAAAAAGTTAAGAAATAAGTAGTTTATTTCTTGAAGAATTAGAGTTTTTAAACTTGTAAGTAAGCGTAAGGTTGCTGGTGATCTCATCTCTACGTTTTTTTTAAATTGTTTCCACAGTGAGTTTTAAGAGAAGCGTTTTGCTAAGTCAGGTATTGTGTTTCTGAATTTCATACATTGTGATGCATAAACTGGGACGCTACACATTTAGTTAAGATTCAGCATAGAAATCTTATGAACATGTTCGTGAAGAATTCGTTTAGTTCATGCGTTTTCGAATCTTTATTCTACATACAAAGAACTTTATGAGTGTTCTTTCCTGCAAATTGAGTCACTATCTCAAAAAATCTAATGAATCCGCTCTCGTTACCCTATCTCTTTACAAGTTATAATCATTTTCTGTTTGCATGTGACTCCTCTTTGTTCACTTTACACTGGCTTATCTCCTTATTATCCCTACTTTATATATCTTAACCGACCGTTTTGGGATCATTTCCCTTGCTCATTTTTCAATGTTGATTTCTTTAGTCTGTTAACCAAATATCTGAGATAACATTTCGCTCGCAAATTTTGTGTATGACTAAGCATGAATTATTAATAGGTGCCTGGACGTCTTTACCCCATCGATTTGCACTACATTCCACTCAGTCCAGTTGAAATTGCCAACACAACTGATAGAATTGATCCTGCGCCATATATTCGTTTGCTAAGACGAATAGACGTAACATATCCCGCTACTGAACGAGGCGATCTTTTGATCTTTTTATCTGGAATGGCTGATATTCAAGTGAGTTATTATGTTGTTTACCTTATTTCATTTTTCGCGTAATTACAGGTGACAACCATATTAAAAGCTGCTATCCATTTGATCAAAAGTTATATCAAGCAAATATTAAGGAGATAGAGAATTCATTTTATCATCCATGTTTTTATTTTGTCGGTAACATTATATCAGTATCCCAGTGGCCTGCTATCACCAACTCAATGCTTACTATATGATTATTTTAGTTTGACACGAAAGCCATATAAAGTTTGATTTATACGAGAACACGAACTACTCATAAGTAGTTTAAAACGAAATGAAAAGTTATTAGATTGTAAGGTAATAAAAGCTGTGAAATTTCTGAAAATTCATGCTATAATGTATGATTTTGCGAACGATAACCAGGCTAAGTACCTCCACAACCAAACTGTTACTTTTGCGTAAGGTTTTTGACCTATAAAAGTTCGATTTTGTTGACATTATATTGAATGTAGATATAATTAAATAAACTGTGCCTTTCCAATCAATATTTTTGCTCATTTTAATGACTTTGAAGTTCTTTTCATTTAGAGGTCAAAGTTCATCGAAGTATCTTTTGGTTGTTTCAGATATCATCCTTACTTTAGTGCAGCTAAGACAAAAATTATTTATTTATTACTTTATTGGCAGTTAGAAAAAATAATCTAGAAACGATAATGCGAAGTCTTACGTCTTACTTTTCTTACCTATGTTTCTCATTCTGTTTTTTCCTAATTCCCAAGCTGTGATAATGTTTTATCCATGCTATTTTTTTTAGAATAACACGTTTCCAACTTAATTCTTCTTCTGTTTTTCTATTTTGTTGCGAAAGGCAATAATGGAACCAGCTAAAGCATATGCTGAAGAAACAAAACGATGGATTATTTTACCATTGCACAGTGCATTATCTGCATCAGATCAAGAGAAAGTTTTTCATGTTGCTCCAGACTGTGTACGTAAATGTATTTTATCAACAAATATCGCCGAAACCTCTCTAACTATAGATGGAATTAGGTGTGTCTCATATATTGAAAATTGGTAATTATTATAAACTGTTGTGTCTCGTATCATTTGTGCGACTATAACTCGACAGTCTACCTTTTACAAACATAAATAAGCAGATCAGTCTTGAATTAATCACATTTATCTATCGTATATAAACGATCTTATTTGGATAACCACTTTAGATGGTGGTTGGAGGTTGTCAACAGGAAACCCTGGACCCGGGTTTCGTGCTACTTGGCACTCGTCAGAAAGGTGTACATGTAATCTTGAGGGAACTGGTGCTCCCTGGCGGATTCGATCTCGTGTCACCCAGCTTCACAGTCAGAGACGTTACCACTGAGCTATCCGAGCCGTGACTAACTAATAAGGACTAGACAAGCATGAGATTGATCACCACCCAGTGATCAATCAATTGTGATTACATCTCAGTCCTACAGGAGGTTAGTCACGGCTCGGATAGCTCAGTGGTAACGTCTCTGACTGTGAAGCTGGGTGACACGAGATCGAATCCGCCAGGGAGCACCAGTTCCCTCAAGATTACAGGTACACCTTTCTGACGAGTGCCAAGTAGCACGAAACCCGGGTCCAGGGTTTCCTGTTGACAACCTCCAACCACCATCTAATCTCAATACATAGTGCCCGCAGTGTCGAGTCACCTAGACTGGTGGCCACATCGCAACATGATCGATAGCATTCGATCTGCACTAATAAGGACTAGACAAGCATGACATTGATCACCACCCAGTGATCAGTCAATTGTGGATAACCACTTTTTCTGTACTGTGTTCGAAAGTATCTCTGAATGATTTATTTCTGAGATAGCTGCCCTTTAAATTAATTAGAAATTATTCATTTCAATTGTCACTTATTATTGACTGAATCGAGTTGATAGAGGTTCATGTAGTTAAGATATTTCGCTTTGAAGTCCCCAATTATGAACTGAGCCTTTCATGTTTGTGTTTTACCCATAATTACTGGAGACAAACAAAGTACAGCTCTCGATCCAAAATTTCACTTCCAATGAAGCCACACTGAAGCTTTGGAAATTGGTCCATGTGTACACTTCTCAAGTTGTGAGGTTTCAAAACATTGAATCATTGATAGGAAGAGTTTGCACTTGAATTGAATTCCAAGAGGTTTATTCATGAAGAAGCTTTCATAAATGCACAAAAAGTCATTATCGAATAATTTTAGCATAGAAAACATAATCTACCGGAAACATTCACTTAAACTATACATTTTTAGATTATATAGTGTCCTCATTACTTTCAGTGCTATTCTCAACGTTGTCATAGATTTAAATTGTCTCTTAATATATGTGATTCTTTGTTTTTTTTAAAAAACAAACACAAATTTCGTTCTTAAAGATTTGTAGCTGATTCCGGCAAAGTCAAAGAATTGAGTTGGGATTCTAAAGCACGAATGCGTTGCTTAAAAGAATTTTCAATATCTAAAGCAAGTGCTAATCAACGTAAAGGTCGTGCTGGTCGTACAGGTCCTGGTGTTTGTTATCGTTTCTATACTCAAGAGGATTATGATAATTTTGAGGTAAATGAACTAAACTGATATTTTCTTTGATTTATTCCATTTTGTAGTGTCACGAAATAATAATAATTACGTTTTTATGCAGCCTATGAAACAATGACTTAGTCGTTAAAGAACGTGACTTTAACCAGTGGGTTTCTAGTTTTACTTGTATTACATCTACTTTGGTTTGGGTAGGCAGTTGGTAACACCAACTCACACACATAAAAAGGTGTAACTCAAAGCTGAGTACATGGACCTGATATCTACCTATACAGTTTGTGGAACGAATTGCTTATCATTTTATCGTGAATTTTGTGTATGTTATCATACATAACTAAATTCAGTGCATTGTAACTAGTACGTTTTGCGTTGTTAAAATACCAAACAAAGTAGTAGTCAATAGGTAATGCAAAGTAATGTTGTCGACGGAATAGGCTTTTCCTCGGAATAAATAATACATTTATGTATAAGGTATTAATGTGGAAGTAAACATGATTACGTGTCATTTGACACATAAGCGATTGCTGAATACAAGTTTCTTCAGTCGCCCATGCACCAAAGACATGAATGTCAATCTTAATTCTTGCCTAATTATTTCATGTCGCTTTTAAACAGAATACTGATGAGAAATCCTAGATTATTTTGCAACGCTTGACATAGATTGATGACTTTATTTATCTATGGAATGTTTTTTTTTATTCAACAATTAAGTGTCAGGGTATGTGTAAGTCTATATAAAAGCTAAGGAAGAGCCGAAATATGTTTATGGAATTGGGACGTTTGGTAAATTTTAAACACGGGCCTATTCATGTTCTTGAATTTGATTGATCAAACTCATAAACATTACCATTTTCATATCTCTTTGATAAGTTTCCAGGACGTTAAGGGTACTTATAATTCAATTAATAACTTCAAATTCTTATTGTTAAAATAACTTCTAAGTTAAGCTCCTGTTATATTTCCCCTTTTTATTTGCTTGGAATTCGTAGATTGGTGATAGTCTGTAAGTCAAACAAGTAGTTAGCATTGTAACCTCTCTATGCCTACACTTAAAAATATGAGGCGGTTATCTAAAATTGATTTTGAGTTATTCAGTTGAAAATCGTTCACCCTAAATGCAGTTGAATTTCATTACTGAAAGTTTTCAATCATATTTCATATATTTAAAAACTGGAGAAATTATTAACATTTCGTATCACTTATGTCCTCCATTTGTTTTATTTCTAGGCATTTAGTACCCCGGAAATTCGTCGTGTTCCTTTAGAAACACTTGTTTTACAAATGATGGTCATGGGTTTACCAGATATGAAAAAATTCCCTTTCATTGACCCACCTGAAATGAAATGCATTGATGAAGCACTTGATATATTAAAGGTATACTTAGTCTATGTGTAGTTAGTTTATTGAATAATAAGTCAAATTAATTATCCCAGCAATTATCATAGTAAGATTTTAATTAAAATATTTTCCCAGTACCATCCATAATCGTTGAAATATCATCCAAAGTTTATTGTAATGTATTTGTACTGCATTCACACATTATATTTCTTAATTTTGAAAAGTTATAGTCTGTTTGATCTGTCCCATCTTGATATAATTGTTGCCTTTAGTGTTAACGGTTTACAGGGAAGACTTGTAGTTAAGAGAATGCATGGTAGCTTGTTAAGAGTTTCATCTTGTCAACATATCTCTTGTGTTTGTGAGAATTAAAGCGATAATTAAAAAACGGATGCTAATCGAACCTCTGCAATCTATTTGATAAATTACCCAGTGTTTAAAAAGTGAGTCCTGGTTGTAAAGCTCATTAAGAGGAGAAATATTGATTTTCATCTATACCTTGCTGACAGTTTTTTAAATGTTATAAGGTATGTGTTTATAATTCTACCAGTAGCTACTATTAGTTATCTGCTTTTTACGTGGTTTGTACTACACATGAATATTAGTTGGAAATGGCATCTAGAATCAAAGATTGCTAAAGAGATGCTTTTATTTGTTCTAAATGAATGAGTTAAATTCTATTCTTTTCATTAAATAATAGTTGAGTTCGATATATATATATATATATTATATATATATATATATATATATATGACTACGTGCCAGTTAACCGATAATATCCCCGTAAGTCAAATATCAGAAGTCAGTTGATGGCTGTAGTCGAGTTGTATTTGTTGGCGACCTCGTGGTATCGAAAGAACACCAAGATCGTGCCAGGTTACAAGTACGGTTGCTGAGCTTAACCGAATTCGCGCAAGGTTTGTTTGGCCTTACTAACTTAAGCTGGAGAAAAGTTCAGATTTCTACTAAAAAAAAGCCAAGTATATTGCGCATCAGTATCAACTTTAATGTGAAACATATCCCCTTAAGGCAAAATCTATGCTTAATTTGCTAATAATTCGATCATAGGCATATTCAAGGTCTTACTGTTATTTAGTAGGTCTGGTTAGACTTTTTAGGTCTACCGAGTGAATAATTCTGAAGTTAGACATATAGCACAAGATAAAGTCGCTAAGACGATTAGTGACTCCATAAGCCTTCATCTACTGAACCAACTATTGCTTACTCCCACATCTTATGTCGGCTATAACAGGATTAGATTGGAAGGAGGTTAATGATGATTCAAGCAAAATAGCGCGTCAGTTCAACAGACTGTTCGTTGTTTAACTTCCTCTGGATCTTCAATTTTGACACTAATTCACACTTAACCCTTTCCAATTTCATTCGTTCTCTAAGAACTATATTTTCTGTCTGTTTACTTTACTATCAGCATTACTAATATAGTTTAGATTATCTTACTTCTCACTTTTTCAATTCCCTCTCATTGTACTAATGTTAAAGTATGGTGAATCGCGTCAATTCACATTTGTGTCAAGTTTTCTATGTTGGTCATGACCGATTGATTAAATTCTCACGTAATATTTTCCAGTGTAGTAGCATACAGCACCTTTATTTAAAAAGATCAGTAGTGTCATGTAATTTTGATTCTTTTTAAGCCTCTTTATTCTACCATCGTTCATTTTGTTGTTATCAGCATTGCCAGAAGTGAATGCTAGAGGTATAGATGTGTTGCCGAATATTAAACCTTTTGGCTTTCATTCTGAACATGGTACAAGCTAATCAGATCCTAATTAAGTCAGTTGGTGATCATCATCCACTATTATTTTAGATATTTCACATTATCCGATAAATAGTTACTAACCTAAGATCGATAAAAATTGTAACCACTTTCATCTATGAAGGTATACCGTTGAAAATAGTCAAGACGTCTGTGCGTTTAGATTATTCTAAATATCGACTCGAGTATGGCAGGCAAGATAAGTATTCGTCTAGAATTAATTTAATGTAGTATATACCACTATGAGGATACTCACAACTCTGTTGAGACTTCCTTCTGTTAACAAAATTTATACGATGATTGTAGAATTAGGTGCTCCGCAATTGAAAATATTAAACAGATTTTCGTATATATCACCAGTATTTTCGTACGATTGTTTGCGATTGACATCTGGAAATAGATCAGTAATTCTTGATTAATAAAGTAGCACATCGAAACAAAGCATCATTTAAATATCACTGATGAGTTTTACATACATTTTGTTGAGTGACTTCATACTGTTTAACTGACTGAATTCAGTAATCAGAAATTCCCTAATTAGGTTTCGTGTTGGGTTAGCACTGATCAGCAATGCATATCTGCAATCTTAAGGGAACTAATGACCTTGTAGAGAATCAAACCTACATCGCTTATTAGCACGGTCATATACATTACCAGTGAGCTATTCAGACATCTACTAATCAATCTCGTGTGAGATTATGATGTTTAAAAGAATTGATCACCCTGTAATCATCTATACCACTGATAATCTATTTAATCTCGTTTTGACCTTCACTTTTTTTCATATTGGAACATTGCACGTGATTATTTTTTGTTTAATTTTTATACTATTATGGAATTCACTAACTTACATTGTGATTTCCTCGTGTTTATCATCTGTTCACAGCCTTCTTTGGGATCAATTTTCCATCACGTATTTTACTTCACCGCTATTTATTTCTTATCATATGTGTTCAAGATATTTTCTTAATATTAACCGATTTATAAGCTCTCATTTTTGTGCCAATGTTAAGCAGTTATTTGGCTAACTATTGCATTTCATATTATGGTGTTATAAAACACTTTTCTAGTTGCATATTTTAGCTGTTTCATAAGAGAGACTCGGTGTAATTTTTAGGCACAAAAAAGTGAGCTTTAAAACTTCTTGCTGATCATCTTGAAATATTTAACAGTGGTTTTTATTATGTCCACTTATTTACTGTATTTTTCTCACACAGTTGGTACTCACAGCGTTAATTCCTATTTTTCTAAACCCTCTAGTTGCAAACTGAGATAATTATTCACAATTACGTTTATTTATTAACATGTATAACCTATGTAAGTAAACATGTAAAATACCAGGCTACATTATGTTACAATTTATAAATCGTAATAGGCACACAGTTAAGAGATGTTCTCTACAGAATTAAGCGTAACCCAATCATAGTTCATCAATTTTTTTAGTTTTTGATTAGTAATGGATTTAACATTAATTAGCTGATAAAAGAGAGATTGCTATTAAGTTTGTGTTAAATTGGTGTTTTACAAAGTGATATAAATTAGTTAAAAAATGACTTTCTGAGTTTTGTATTTTTCTCTATCCACATCTACGCAGCATCTCCCTCTTCTTGAACCATAAGTAGTTGTCCATATGGGTTTGTGCAGCATCAAATTCCTTGTGGCCATCTCAGAAATGGCTTTGATTTCCTCTCGAGTGTCATTATAACTTTTATTTGTGAATCAGTTGACATATACAACGTCATAGTAGAGTTTCTACTAACTTTTTTACGGTATTCCTTTGTGGTGTTATAAATGATCAGAATATCATATCAGTGGCACACCTCCAACTTTGACCGCTTAAATTATACATTCAACCCTGGTTGAAATGATTTATGGTTCGCATATCGGTTATGCATTATGGTAATCACATAATGACACTGGCTGACCATTTTGAATTTTTACACAATACCTACTTTTCAAATTGAGATTACTAACATCTTTCACCATAACTTATGAGCAAAACTTATAAACCAATTGAAATTCCATATGAAAATATGTTAGCAACGTCAAACTTTATGTTAGATGACATGGAATTCGGTACTTTGTATAAAAGACTACAAACCATCAATAATAAATACTAATTTAATATTTTATCATCTTGGCTGATTAAAGTACTATTATAATGAAGCCTGCGAAATCGCTTTCAATAAATACACATAAATTATGAATATATCTGAGCAAATGTAAAAGAGTTGAAATAATTTGATCTGTTTTTGTTCATTAAGATATCAGTTAGTCTTTTTATGTTGAGCTCGTTAACGAAAGAAGTACAATATTTAGTATCATGCACCAAAACAGAATAAACAGGCTAGAAATGTTAGTTATAGAATATCAATTGGAGTTATCCAAATTGATGTAGGCAAAATATGATTTGAACTTGTAACTCAGCAGTTGAATGTTCAATGCATTGATTATTAAATTACTGATTCTATGTTAGAATAAACAATCAGTTAAATTTGATAATTATCAGTGGGATACAAGATGCTCTTTTAATTCTTACTCCACAGCTTCATGTATTTGAGTCACTGTAATATTACCTTTGTGTATCAACCTAAGAGCTTACATTTTCGAAAGATTCTATTAAGAATCACATAAAAAACCTCTGTGTAAAAAATTACTGTTTAGTTCAGAGTATTTAGATAAATACAAGAATATTGAAGACAATATCAACAAATTTTAGTGTTTGTATCGTTTTACTTTCTCATTCAGTCACATGGTGCAATTATTCCACAGAATAACTTGTTAACGGTTACGCCACTTGGCCAATTATTATCTGATATACCAGTTGAATTTTCAATAGGTCGTATGTTAATTATGGCATCATTATTAAGATTAATTAATCCCGTATTAAGTTTAGCTGCTGGTATGGCTATTCAGTGTCCATTATTACCGTATACAGCTTTCAGTGGAGCAGAACAAACGCGTCGAATCGAATCACTAGCTGAATATGAAAGTGATCATGGAGATGCGTTTACATTGGTTAATGTTTTTGATGAATGGATTAAGGTAGTTTATCTTAATAACGTGTAATTGATAATATTTATTATTTCTTGTACTTATTTGTTGTTGATAACAATTATATATTCTCATTTAATTTCTAACCATATGGTTGAATAATTGTTGACAGATATTCAAATAGTGTTTGTTTCTTACTGTTCCAGTCAGTCAGTCACAATGTAGAACCTGTACGTATGTGCATCGGTTTAAGTTGCCGTACCCCGTATCACAAAGAGATGAAATTTTCAGTCAAATCTCACAATAATAGAGGTAGTAAAAATATCAATCGTAATAGGAAAGATTAGGCATCGAAGATACGATTCGAGAAGAAAATAAAGATTGACGAATTAAAAACAAAAAAGGTTATGAGGAATTTAAAATCTCAGGATTTGGGTGTAGATAAAGAATGGATGCATCTGCGCCATTGCGAACGATCCTGTTATGTTACCCATAGTCTCTAACCGTTGCGACAACCACGCAGACCCCAACCAGGTAGTCTGTACCTATTAATATGACTCAGTTCAATTATCAGTGGTTTCATGGACTGATACCTTGGTTTGATTTGTTATCTCCTAGTTTTTTTCCAGTAGATAACAGTTTATGTAGGCATTCTACTTTTTAGAATTTTTCACGAAGATATTTTAAACTTGAAATGAAACCAGAGTTTTTTACAACTTGATATCAATAACTTGTCAGAACAACATCATAATTGTATTTCATTCATTTATTTGCTATCTTGCCAGTGATATTGGAACCATGTTTTACCAAATTTTCTATGCGAACTCTTGTTGCTATCTACGGCATTCGATTCAGATACACACACTTCTCATACTTTTTCCCAAGCAGCTGCGTGTGTGAGAAGACAAAAATTACTAGGAAAATATAATTCACAACATCGAATGTTTAGGTACACAGATCACTACCAAACATACATTTATCCTTCTAATCCAGACAAAGATGTGTAGGCTGAGATATGACTAAGTGCATAATCAAATTCCTCCAATCATGTCGCGTGTGTAATTTCACAAACAACTGTCAACCAATATCAAAGTCACAATCTTCAATTCGAATGTCAAGACAGTTCTACTGTACGGAGCTGAAACTTGGAGAATTAATACAAGTATCATCAAGAAGGTACAAGTATTTATAAATAGTTGTCTACACAAGATACTCAACGTCCATTGGTCGGATACAATTAGCAACAGCATATTGTGGAAGAGAACAAACCAGCTTCCAACTGAAGAGGAAATTAGGAAAAGATGATGGAAATGGATAGGACATAAATTATTCAGATCATCAAACTGCATTACGAAGCAAGCCCAACTTGGAATCCTGAATGAAAACAGAAAAGTGGAAGGCTGAAGAACACACTACGTCGTGAATTGGAAGCAGATATGAAAAGAATGGATAGCAACTGAAAAGGATTGCCCAGAACAGAGTTGGATGGAGAGTGCTGGTGGGAGCCTATGCTCCTCCATGAAGAGTAGCAGGCGTAAGTAATTACTTACTTCCGTTACGCTTCATGGAGAATAGGCCACCAACCAGGATTCTCCAACCAACTCTGTCCTGGGCAATGCTTTACAGTTGTTCCTGACCGCTATTCATTCTTTTGATGTCTGTCTCCAACTGCCAACTCAGTGTATTTCTTGGTCTTCCTCCTTTCCTCTCCAAATGATTCCAAGTTATGGCTTTCCTCATGATGTAGTTTGATAATATCTGCGTAATGTATGTTCTATCCATCTCCAGCGTCTATTCATAATTTCCTCTTTAGATGGAAGCTGTTTGTTCTCTGCCATAGTAGGTTGTTGCTGATGGTATTCGACCAACGGAGATTGAATAGCTTGCGTAAACAACTATTTATATATATACCCGTACATTTTTGATGCTAATTGAAGTAGTTCTTCAAGTTTGAACTTCGTGCAATAGAACTGCCTTGAAGTTCGTATTGAAGATTTTCAATTTGATGTTGGCAGACAGTTGTTTTGAGTTTCATATGTTCTTCAATTGTAGGAATGCAGCCCTTGCTTTGCCAACCCTCGGCTTTACATCTGCATCAGATCTTTCTTGTTTATCGATGCTGTCTTTTGATGAGCTTGATACCTGAGAACTTTATTTTTCAAGTGTTCATTTGATTTCGAAGTGCTCAGAATTTCCAACTTTTACTAGGAGTAACATAAGAGGTCATTGACTAAGTAAATATTACTATACAGGTACACCTTTCATATATTATTTCAGATGCTAAAATACCAAACATTATTTTTCAATACAGATACTAATCATCATTAATAAGATAGCTATCTGTTTATAGAGATGTGAATCATCCAATTTATTGAATGTGTATTAAATGATCGAAGTTAATGTAGAAATTATATTGAATCAATAGGGTGTGATTATTTGCCATTCATCAAACGACTGATGATGGATCAGAGATGGAAATGAAGTTCACAAAAGTATTAAGGCTTTTGTAGGTCGCGTAAAATTTGTTGTTCATAGAGGGTTTAACATGAAAAATTCCCCGTGATCTGTCTTTCGTGTTTCTACCCAATGTTCTCATGTTAAAGATTATTGTCTTAAACGACAAATAGTATGACGGTCTAACTTATTCAATTCTTAAAGAAGATAGTAAAAACACTAAAAATAACCTTGCTGTATTTCTTCCATAATTCATTTTTCAGTGTGAAATAACGTTTTTGATTACAATTGTTTTTGATGTAACCATTAGATGAAATCGGAGGCGACTGGTATTATTAAACAAGATCATGAATTAGACGAATTTGATAATAATAATAATAATAATGACAAGGGATGTAAAAGCATTCAACGATGGTGTCGTCGTATTGGAGCACAACAGCAACGTCTTCATGAAATGGTCCGATTACGTAGTCAGTTCGCACAGTTGTTAAAAGACAGTGGTCTTCTTGATAGTAAATCCACAGAATTTGATGAAAACCCATCCAGAACACAACACTTTAAAAATTTAAATTATGCAAGACGTAGTGCACGAATGAAATCTAAACGACGCCGACTTCTCACTTTACAAGATAATGTAAGTTCTGCTATTTGTTTGCATCATTGCATAAGTTCGGTGGTTCGGTGCTAAAGGAATTTGACTCTCAATCACTAGGACGGATATCCGACCCACACTGTATTTATTTCAGGTATTATCACTAACTTTCGTACATAAAATGTGTCTGAAAGTCGGGTTTCTGAACATGTATTAAGTTACATAAATGAAGCACTGGTCTAATTATTAGACATTAAACCCTTATATTCTATGCAAAGATGGATAGTGGCTAGCAGTGGAATCCAGGACGCGCGTCTCGTTTTATTTGGGACTCATCAGTTGAGCGTACCTGCATCCCAGAACCCAGTACCGTTCGCTCCAAAGGCCGTCGCATTATCCACTTAGCCACTGAGTCCTGATAGCCACCTTCCTATTCAATGGGATGAGGTTTAAATTCACTTGGCGGGATACAGGTACATCCAGCTGACGAGCCCCAAATAGGACGAAACGAGCGTCCTGGATTCCACTGCTAGCCATTATCTATATTTGCTTAAAAAGCTTGTGACTTAAGGCTATGTCGAGGCGATCCCCACAAGATGCACATGTGCCAACGAGAGACTAGTCAATTACAGTTCTAAATAACAATTGGAAGATACAAGTAAGACAACACTAATGAATTTATATTTTATGTTTCATATTCTAACTCACTCCGCATACTTCACTTTGGCAGCTAGTTGTTATCGTATAAGAAAATACATGTGTACTTTGACACATGAGAAAGAAGCCATTTTCTAACCGGTGCTATGCAGTAATTTGTCTTTTGTACTAAAGGCGACGACCTATTAGTTAAGACATCTGGCTTTCAATTAGTAGGTCACATGTTAGAGTCCCGCTTCATGCACTTTCGCTTAGGCATCCGGGTAGTATCGCTAGTCATCAAACAAATTGTGGCTCAAAGTCTAGTGCACTGTTCTTTACTTGTGAATTAAGTTAAATAAGAATCACTGTCCAATGGTTTGTAATTAATTCCTAATCATATTTCTGTACCAAATATGTATTTTATTCAGTAGAAATAAATGAATAATGATTTGAATAGATTATGATGATTGCTAGTTTCAAATAGAATTCGATATTATCAAAGTTTCTTGTAAAAATTGTTTTAACACGAGTTAATCTTTAAGAAACCCTGTTATGCATGTTCAGGTGTATGAATTAACACATCTGTTCATGGTATTTGCGGAATTAACCAAAGTACTGAAGAAATGTTGCATGACCTGAATACTGAATAAGTTTAACTTATCAAATGATTAACAGATTAGTTGAAAGTTTCAATTTTAAAAAGACAGTTCTGGTAAAGTTATATCATCTAAGCTAAATGGTTTGATTGCAAGGATTTCGTTATTATTCAAAAACCTCGTCAAACCAATCCGTTCTGGTAGCTTTGGTTGTGATTGGATTTCCTCATTATCTTCATTTCATCCTCTTCTCAGTGACTTTTTTACTAGGTTACTCTCTGAAATGGCGATTGATTAATCCTTCCTGCATAGATTGATAGATGTATGTCGATACCACTTATTCTTTGCAAATTGGTATGAGCGATATCCCTCTAGGAATTCTGTGACATTTCTGCAGTTAAATTCGTGTTCACAATTGTCTTAGTATGTTGGTATAAGTAACTTCACAAAATAGAATTAAATCATTGTGTTGGGTTGCAAGTAACGGACGGATGCAGGACTTATAAAATGATTTTCAAAAATTCTAACTTTTGTCTTGATTAGTCACGGATAACATTGTCCTGAATGATAATCAAAGCTTCTCAATTAAACTATTTAAGCTGACGAATATAGAACAACCAAATGCTTATACCGTCAGAGTATAGTTGTTGGGATATTCACGTGTCATTTTCCTACTGGTCAATATTGTACACGTTCCTCTACTTCTTAAAATAATGAGTGGACGCGGTAAAGGTGGTAAAGTTCGTAGTAAGGCAAAAACAAGGTCAGCCCGTGCTGGTCTTCAATTCCCTGTTGGTCGTGTACATCGTCTTCTACGCAAGGGCAATTACGCTGAGCGAGTAGGTGCTGGTGCTCCAGTCTATCTAGCTGCAGTTCTCGAATACCTGGCTGCAGAAGTTTTAGAGTTGGCTGGTAATGCTGCTCGTGATAACAATAGTATAGTAAAGAGATTAAAGCAACCACGATGAACTTCGAGCCATTTTCTGGCAAATCAGAAAATAGCTTTTATAAGTCGATAGTTTATGGAAAAAACAATGATATTACGAAGTTTATAGATTTTACAGATTTTATACAATTAACAAGTTCATTCTTGTTTTCTACATGTTCTTTTGAATGTAAATCGAAAAAAACAATAATATATAAACTCATCTCAATAGATATAGATTGTCCATATTCTCCAACCCTTAAAAGGATCCAAACAGATTTTTAAGAGTCTCTAAATTTTTTGTAGTTAAGGTTAGAACCAGGGGTTTAAGTTTATGGTTCGCATCACAAATTGACACCAGTTATAATTTAACAATGGTGGGTAACTGTATAGATCGATGTATTTCACTCAAAAATATGAGAAACTCTTTAAAATTCAGTATATCACGTCTAGGTTTGTTCCATTATTAAGAATTTCGAGGTTAGGATTTAAGGGTTGCTTTGATTTACCTTTTATATATATGATCTAAAGAGAAAGAATGATGCATTTGATCTGTTTAAAAAATATCATTTTTACCATATTGTTGCACAGAATAATTTTCCGCTATTATTTTAAATGTTTTGAGAATTATTTAAAAGTATATCTACTACTCGTTATACATGATATTTTAATTTCGCACAAAAACCTAAAAGTCGCATTCTCTATTCTGGTTAGCTCGTTCATAAAGTATTCTTTTACCAGTATTCCCTTAGGCTAGAAATCATCATCATTTCAAATACATCGTTTTTGTTTACTTTAGCTAGTTTGATCGCATTTCATACCGAATACTGTACAATTTTGTAGTATGTATAGTTATTTCCTTTCAGTTCTCATTGTTCATAATAAAGTGTTGCCAAATAAAACACACCTTAATAAAACATAAATATATGAACAAAGAATATTATTTTCAGTAAATTCTCTTTAGGTTCTGCAATCATGTATCCAGATTAATAATCCGAAAGTGGTCAGGCTTAAGACAAGTTTCATAGTCATATTAGGGTTAGTCCGAATCATTCTTCGTGTATATATATGATCAGAATGCAGTATGTCGTTTATCAATGGTCGATAGGATCTTGCTTACTGTTTGACAATATCCAAACGGTTAATTTTATTATAATTTATGAAGTTGTTAACACCTTTACACTGTGACAGATATCATATGAAGGAGCGTATGACAGTACTGACACGGGTTTGAATCCAATTTGACTATTAGATGCCGGATGAACAATAACAGTATAATAAGTTTCTGACGATATTCAACAACGCACATATAAGAATAATAAGGATCTTTAAAAATGAGTATTTAATTTCTTGAGAAAAAGGCGGTTATAGTAATAACGGTGTTTATTCTATTCCGTTTATATGACCTTAGAATAGAAATACTAAAATAGACCAGTGGAAAGGACAGTTAATACGAAGTAATCAATTGGAGAAAATGATGATCATAACAAAATTTAGCGCGTAATTGTCGTGATATTAATAACCTATTTTTTGAGGTAATCTCAACAATGACAGTGTTATTTTTCATAGACCATTAACGTGAAATCAATGGGTCAGATTTTAACTGCATCCTCTAATCCATAGTCTAGCTATCAAATATTATGATAATCTTTAGTACATAACACACTGTAACTCAGCTTCACTTAAAGTATTTCAACATGATGGTTACTGTATTCAATTATTATCATTTTCTATTTTCCAATAATTTTCATTACATTGCCTCTTTTTACTTTAATTTTACAGTTGAGTGATAACTCGGAATCTGAAAAAGAAGATCATCATATGGAAAGTGATTCGTCTAAATTACGTAAATGGTTAAATGCGTCGAGCCGTTGTTCATCAATCAATTCATCAAATGTACCTGTACAAGATTTAGAACTAGTATTATGCTACAATCTATCATCTTTAGCGCAATCAGCTAATATTCAACAAAACATGACACAAGCTGATCTTCAACTATTAAAAGTTGTATTAGCTGGTGGTATGTATCCTCAGTTAGCTATTGGTGATCCAGCCAACGCTTATCGTGTTGCTAATCGTGGTGGTACAGCTGGAGCTGGTGCTGAAATGGTATTTCATACTAAGGTGAGTGTTCGTTTTTAGTTCATGAATATCATCTGAAGAATACCACTTGGTTGACATTGTAGTATATATATATATATATATATATATATATATATATATATATATATATATATATATATCCCTTTAAGATAATTAATCGAAGTAACGATAAATGCTTGACGAAATAGCAGAAATGTCAATTTATAAAAGTACACTCAAACATATTTGATTCTTGAACGCTGGTCAAGAAGTCGACTGAGTTTTCCCTTGCATGTTAAAGATTATTCTAGAGGATTTAAGTTGTTGGTGTTTTGGACGTTTTAAGTCTTTTCAAGCAGCAATTATATAGGATTATATTAAGACTATGCTTACTGGTGGGCGGCCTATGTTCCTCCGCGTGGGGTATCAAAGTAATTGAGTAAATACACTTACTGATTGTCGAGATAAATATTGATTGCGACAAAAATACAAAAATAATGTAGATGAATTTTGTTAGGAGAAAGCAGAAGAGAAATTTTTTATCGATAATAGTTCATTCTCCACTAGGAGGGTAACAGGCGTAAGTAAGTAAGTGACTTTTTACTTACTTACTTACTTACTTACTTACTTACTTACTTACTTACTTACTTACTTACTTACTTACTTACTTACTTACTTACTTACTTACTTACTTACTTACTTACTTACTTACTTACTTACTTACTTACTTACTTACTTACTTACTTACTTACTTACTTACTTACTTACTTACTTACTTACTTACTTACTTACTTACTTACTTACTTACTTACTTACTTACTTACTTACTTACTTACTTACTTACTTACTTACTTACTTACTTACTTACTTACTTACTTACTTACTTACTTACTTACTTACTTACTTACTTACTTACTTACTTACTTACTTACTTACTTACTTACTTACTTACTTACTTACTTACTTACTTACTTACTTACTTACTTACTTACTTACTTACTTACTTACTTACTTACTTACTTACTTACTTACTTACTTACTTACTTACTTACTTACTTACTTACTTACTTACTTACTTACTTACTTACTTACTTACTTACTTACTTACTTACTTACTTACTTACTTACTTACTTACTTACTTACTTACTTACTTACTTACTTACTTACTTACTTACTTACTTACTTACTTACTTACTTACTTACTTACTTACTTACTTACTTACTTACTTACTTACTTACTTACTTACTTACTTACTTACTTACTTACTTACTTACTTACTTACTTACTTACTTACTTACTTACTTACTTACTTACTTACTTACTTACTTACTTACTTACTTACTTACTTACTTACTTACTTACTTACTTACTTACTTACTTACTTACTTACTTACTTACTTACTTACTTACTTACTTACTTACTTACTTACTTACTTACTTACTTACTTACTTACTTACTTACTTACTTACTTACTTACTTACTTACTTACTTACTTACTTACTTACTTACTTACTTACTTACTTACTTACTTACTTACTTACTTACTTACTTACTTACTTACTTACTTACTTACTTACTTACTTACTTACTTACTTACTTACTTACTTACTTACTTACTTACTTACTTACTTACTTACTTACTTACTTACTTACTTACTTACTTACTTACTTACTTACTTACTTATACACACACACACACACACACACACACCTGTTACTCCTAATGGACCATAGGCCGAAGACCAGCATTCCTCAACCCACTCTGTCCTAGGCCTTACTTTCTAGTTCTGTCGAATCGTTGTTCAGTTTTCCCATGTCTGTCTTCCAGGTCTCCGACATTGTACGAGCATTCTATGTACTTAAATTAGTCGTTGCTGTGTTTGTCAGAAGGGACATCAGCCCTATAACTCTTCTGAATGAAGACCTTCTAACTTCCGGGGCACAGTTTAAATTGTTTGAATTATTTTTTCGTTAGTTTTCTACGGGTTGGGGTCGCTAACCCCATGCCCAGCCCTTCTCCTTTATCCGGGCTTGTTGCGGGCAGTAGCCCAGAGGGGCTCCACGCGGAGTCATGTATTCATTGGTATTCATAACTCATGGTGAGTTATGGTCTAATACTTCCCGGTTATAATAATATGAATCAGAATAATATGATTTCGTTTTGATCATCGTGTGGCCTTGTATTTAATAGGATGCAAACCTCTGTGGTTCATCGATTATGTGGTGTAAAAGACAAAATCTCGACATAGGTTTAAAAGGTCATTTTTATGTGATTTAAAAAATACATCCCTTCTACTTATCAAAAGCCTGGTGTATCGTGCAACGGTATGATCTATTTAACTTCATAGCTGTGAAACGAACTTTTTACGGTAGAAGACATGTAGTAAGTAACAATTTTTTTATCATAGATATAATCGAAATATTGTTCGTATTTGTTAGGACCACCTACTGACTGATAGTGGAATTAGGAGCAAAGTGGCTGTTGATCTTTATTTTATCAATAGCCCCGTAACTGCGTCCTGAAAGTGATTGGAAGCCTTGGATAATGGAGATCGAGATAAATCATTGTGGCTAGGATACTCCTATTCTTTATTTTCTCATAGATTTTCAGTTTCAATAAGATTCGATACTTTTTATCACCTGAATTCATAATTTCATTTAGAACTGTATTCTTTATGTTTAATCCTTCCAGGTATTATTTTCATACCTTTCGAACTTGTTATTTTAATTTAATCTCTCTGTGCTTATTTGGTGTATCTACCTAGACCGATCCATATCTATGTCTCGTGTCTTACGTTGTTTATGACTGATTAACTCAATTGATTACGTCATGCTCATACTGAACTGAAGAAAAACATTAGTCAATAAACATTTTTCTGTTACTAATACTTAGATGTGTTACTGTTTTTAAGGAACTAATATATCTCCCTAGTATTATTCATGTTTATGAGTTAAAAGTTAAACATGTTGAAAATTTCTCCACTATCTGATATGTTAATTTATTGATTCTTTTTCATACAATGATATATTTTGTTTTGTGGTCTCATAATTTTGAAGTTTTTGTGTTATTTGAGCTGGGTGAAGCTTGTATTATCTATATAGACAATATTATCAACCTATACTTTAATAAGAAGTGAGCTATTATGATTTGTCCAGGTCAACAGAACAAACTTTTAGTCATTTGTGGTTAAGTTCTAATCACTTACTTCTTATTGAAGCGTATGTTGATTATGTCATCCAGAAAGACATTGAGAGCTTCACAATTAAACCATCCAGCTCAAAGAACACAACACCTTCAAAATGATCATTCTATGCTACAAATATTCCTCGTCGATAATTTAACTATTTTTTCTATTCTATTTTAGAATAAAGGTTTTGTTACACTTCATCCAAATGATGTATTTGTTAGAAAGCCAGATGTTTTATTTCCTGAGCGTACTTCAAAAAAACGGAATAATAATCGTCCGAACCTGTCAGAGATACAAAAGTCACAAACATCATTACCAAATAAAAATTTGAAACAAAAAGAGATGATGATTTCGATGGTGAACAAACAGAAGAAGAAAGTATTTTGATGTTTTACCGTCTGGCTTTGCATACGATCATCAATTACTTATGTATCTGTAAGTTGATAGTTGTTTTTAATGATAAAATTTTAAAATATAATGACTATCACTTGCATTAATATTGTCATCAGGGATTTTTTAAACAACTCACAACAACCTCAATAATAGTGATCAGTTATTCTATTAACCTCTTCTATTATTTATACATAGTTTGTTTTTTCTGAATAAATCTTGTCTTGAATTAAGTTCTATTGTAACGAGTAGCAAGTGACAGTTTTTCTGCAGTCATACCACAAATAGTCATATCATTAGCAGTACCAGTATTTTGCACTAGTCATTACAATAAGTTAATTTTTAAACAGACCAGTCATAAGCAACATGAAAGTTTACATAACAGATTACCTTTAACTGGAAAACCATTGAAACTTGAGAAGTACTAGGCAGGTGTTTTGTCCTAGTTAAGAATTACTCAACGATATGAATCCGGGATCTTACAATGAACCAACCCTAAAGCCTTCAGGGCTCGTGGTAAGCACTATATCTTTGGGTAACTGAGCTGGTATCTAAGTGGTTCACGTTTCCAACTTTAGTCGATCCACAATATCACATGGTCATTATCCCTTATCAAAACAAATCTGTTTCATCTTATTTTATGACTTACAATCTCCAATTATTGGTTGCATTGGTAAATGAGCTTCGATTTATTTTGTTTGGTAATTTGTGCGAGAATTTTATATACTATTTAGGAATTCTACAATATTTCTCTTATATTCATGTTTTTGAAAGTACTTATTCCTCGTTCACTGTTTTACAAAGATACGCTTGCTAAAATATTTTCATTCACCTTTATACTCGACTTCTTTTCCGTTATTATTTCTTCTACTTTGGTTCTAATAAATACATTCTTGTGAATGGGATATGTGAACGATTATAGCTTATAAGCAACACTTATGATACCTTTGTTTTTCGCGTAACAATAATTAGCATTCTATGTATAGAAAGTTAATTTTAGGTTGACTTTTTCGTTGTTATTATCGTCCCAAATACTGACTGCTGGGATTCGAGGATACGCCACTGTGAACTTGATTAGAACCTTGAAGGCCACCTTGAAATATTTCAAGTCATATGAAATCTGGCGAACTATACTCACTGATAATAATTGACCTACTGAATTACATTTAGTAGTATAATTGTATTTTGCTAGTTTTCAGTTCTGTAGATCCGTGATATCGATTAAACTGAGTATTCAACACTTTTGAACATATTAACTTGTCGATAAGTAAAAATCTGCTCAGGGATACGCGATCCTTTATTAGATTTTAAACTTTTTTAAAATTTATTTTCATATCGTCTGTAGTCAAAACTTGAACATTCGAATAAAAGTCATTCATGTGTACTCATCTTTTATGTGACGTTAATTCTAAATGTACGTCGCATCATTAATTGTCTTTATAAATGGATATATGTTATTTAGCTGGTGTATTCTATGTATAATAAAAGTTTGCCAAATCTTATATATCGAAACCGAAGGTTATTTATGTCTAGATTCAAACAGTTAGCTTTCATCACTGAATATTATGTTTAAATACTCCTCCACGTATATTAAGTAATTTTTAAATGAGGCTCGTAAATTTCAATTTGGCGATTGTTTATCTAGAATGGAAATGTATCTGATAACTGAAGTTCTTTTAGCTTTTAGAAATAAGAGTTGTGAATAAATTTCGTAATTATTACGATATTTACACATAAGTAAGTAAGTAGTCTTACTAGTGTTTTCATTCATATTCTTACTATGTATAATATTACACTAAAATGATAGTTTCACTTTTCACACAATTTCTTTGTTAGCTTTTTTTGTGTGTGATAGTAACCTCTTTTTATTTCATTACCTGAGTTCAACATAGTTTATATTTACGTATACTCTACATACAATGTATATAAGAATCATCTATGTATCATGTTTGTTTTGTTGTATTTGTTATAAATTCTATGTTTGTTTATTGATGAAAGTGTACAGTTTTCAATGGGGAATTTACCACATTTTTGAACGTTTATATAATATTTTCAGCATGAATTCCTAGAATCTACAATTATTAGCATATATTATCAGACCAAAATTATACAAATTTATGTTTCATATAGATTTTATCATGAAGTATCATTAAAAAGTTAAAAACTAAGGAATTTAGAATGATCAGAATGAGGCATTATAGAGATTGTAGTAATTTTAATAGTTAAATTCATAAGTCAATCTAAACTAGATCACCAGGTTCATGTTTTCAATGGTGGTCTAGCTTAGATTATTTAATTGAAGTAGATTTTTATATTTTGAAGCGCTTTAGCCATTATATATCAAACCTATAGAATGATGTGAATTCTATCTTTACTAAGCTTAGTAAATTGAAACAGAATTTTCATAGTAAGTTAATGTAAAATCATTTGCTCGCTTTAAATCAGTAAAAATAACTAAACATTATTGATAGTGTTCTATTTACAATTTATTTTCATGAAAGTTATATAAGTAGTTTGTAAATGCCAAAAATTTTGTTTCCTATAATTCTTTTTTTGTGTGTAAAGATTTTTAATACTCTATAACTTAGTTAAACAGAACTAAGCAAAACAGACATATATCCTTCGGTTTACTATACTTTTTGAATCTACCATTGTTTGTTAAACATGACTATTAGATTATTGGGTTGTAAAAATTAATTACGGACCGTTTCATGAATTGAATAAAACAATCTATGATTGTTGTAACTAATATACATACATACATACATACATACATACATACAGTATTTATCAAATTAGTATAAAGAATTGTTTGTTGAACCTTCTACATGTTTTAAAATCGATCGATCGGTTGATCGATTGTTGTTATTTCGAAACTTTTAGTCTATAAAAATCGGAGATGTTATTAGGGCGGAGTCAACAAATGAACGTCGAGTCTCTGCCTATCTCTTATTTTCTTTACAGAATAATTCAATGTCCTGACAGGTTTTCATTCAACAACAACAAAAAAAGACACATATGTATTAGTCTGTCTATCCACTAGTACTTTATCATTGATAGTTCATGTGTCTTTATAAATTTTATGTACACATAAACCTTTGTGTGTGTATGTATGTGTGCTATCAAAAAAAAACAAGAGAGAAAGTCTGTGGTTGAATTTTGTTGACCTGCTAATATTAAAATTGTATGACATCGATTTCTGTAGAAAAAAAATCAATTCTAATCAGGCCGTTTAAAGCCCGGTCCAATGAACATGTAGGTTAGTATCAATGACATGAATTCTAGCCAAAAATTACCATAATAATAATAATAATAGTACAGTTAGTGATCACCATACTCTTGCATGGTTCTAGATTCTCATAGTTGATTACATTTGTTACTCAAGTCTTTTTGTTTTATGTGATATTGAGTTGATTGTTCATGATACTCAACTATGTATTAAGGTGCTTGACTTCGAGATGTACTGAATACATAATTCTTTACGATATGTGAATATTCTTCGTTTATAAGAAATTAGGTGATTTTCATTAAACTCATCATATAATTATCATCTTCAATGGATCACAATGTGAATAAATAGAATATCCCAATAGTTAAATGCTAAAAATGAATATTTCTTCAAACTAGTAGTGATTTATACAAAGATTACAATTTTCTCTCGCGTTTTATTGATAAGGTTATCACGGAGTAATTTTTTTTAAAAAAAAGTAAATATAATTGAAACAATGTTAAGTATATCATCCGTTAAACTAAAGAAGAGGAAAAGGAAACAAACATAATCAACTATCTAAATCAATTAGATAGAAAATAGATTTATACAAATAGGTGAGAAAAGGTTATATTCAGTTTAGTTCATCTAGTTCAAAATATCATTAAAATATGCTAACTTTGTCATCTCATAGAAAATGTCTATTTAACTATACATTCATATTATCTTTATGTTTCTTTATAAACAGAAATAATCATAAATCTGCACACACAAAAAATGTATATAAAATTCTTATTCTTATCAATTTAATGTATTGTAATTAATGATGAGATGATAATAGAATTCTTAGAAGTTGGCATGCATTATGTATGCATACATAGACAACAACAAACTGACCAAACTAATTATAGTTACACGTAAATGACAAAACACAACTAATTTTCATAATATTTCAATGTCTTAAATACTAATTCATGTGATAGAATTATACTTTATTCTTCCAATTCTGATATGTTTCCGAATATGGATGAATAGCTGGGGATGAACTTCACTTTGTCAAGTTATCCAATTGTATCGTAGTCTGTGACTACTATTATGTTTGCGTTTATATATTCACTCAATAGTAAACATTTTGGAATAATTTCTATTATAGATTTATTTGAAGGTATGGCTTTTGCCATGTTGTAATTTTTCTTCCATCCTAACTGACTACGCTACAATTGACACGTCCGTAGCATGTTGGAGTGGTATTTTCGTCTTAGCAAACTACATTTTATGTAAGCTATCAAAAACAACAGATAACGAAATACGCTTTCCATCATGGATTACGATAGTCTAAATAAGGAGCGATGTTTGATTTTGGTTAGTTACCAGATGCAAGGTTAAAATTGCAAATGGGAGTGGAGTTTAGCCTCACCCAGATAACTAAAGTATATAAATTATACAAAACTATTTTAATTGTTGAAATCATGAGTTAATTTAAGCTAGACCAACATGGAAAACCTAGAACCACTGGACGGCCGTTTCGTCCTATTGTGGGACTACTCAGCAGTGCACATCTATGACCAGTGAAGTTCAACCGGGTCATTTGTGAGATAGTAACTCACTGATAACAATGGTGGATGTGTCACTCAATTTCGCGGACTAGTTTAAGTTAGACATTAACACCGTTGGATGCCGGCTCAGTGGTCTAGTGGTTAAGTGCTCACGCGCGAGATCAGTAGACCCTGGGTTCGAATCCTGCGAGGCGGGATCGTGGATGCGCACTGCTGAGGAGTCCCATGATAGGTCGTCCAGTGCTTCCAGGTTTTCCATGATGGTCTAGCTTCAATGACTCATGATCTCAACAATTGAAATTACTAACGTCACCCTTCTGATATTAAAACTATTGTAATTGATGTTCACTCTATTTGCCAAAATTTTTAATAGTTTTTTTAAAAGTACAATCTAGATTATCTAAATAGATTACTGACGATTAACTGCTCTGAAATCATTGTCAAAGCTATATTTCTTTCTTAATGTACAAGTTGAACGATTTTATTGGTTAATGAAACTTTTTGTAAAGGAATATCGGTTTATGTAATCAGTTTTAAGCTGTACAGTTTATCTATGAAATAATAATATTGTCTGGTTGTCTAATCTACAATGGCCAGCGTAGAATTCAAACATGTAGTGTACTGATTGGAAATTTAACCACTTTAAACATTCACTTATTTTTTAAATGCATGAATAGATTAAACAATAAATTGAAAATATGTTATATTTTGTGCTTATTAAATTACATAAATTCAATAGTAACAAGGACAAAATGGATTTAAACTTTACTCCATTTCACAAGCTACTGGCTATCGAGACTCAGTATCCAAGTGTATAACGCGATGGTGTTTGAAGCGAATGACACTGGGTTCGTGTCTTGGGGTGAACATCAACTCGGATACACGTACATCCAGCTGATGAGTCCCGAATAGGACGAAACGCGCATCCTGTATTTCGCTGCTAGCGAACATCCACGTTTGTTTATAAAGCTTGTAACTAGGCAATACAGAGGCAATCCACACAGGATGCACATTTGCCAATAAGAGACTGATCAACTGCAGTCCTAAACATCAATGGGAAGATTCGAACTAAGAATACTAAATGAAAGTAACAAGGGCAGTTCAGATGATTTTTTATAATATTAAATTTAAGCCATGTTCACTGCATTGAAACACGAATTCTATATCTTTTTTTTATAATATATCAGGGAAGATTAAAAATATGAAACATTTTTAAAAGCAAATGCTACTATTACAACATATTTCAGTGGTTTCAATAAACCCTCACCACACATTCTTTAATTAAGTTTTATCCAATTAACATCAATATATCTAATAAAATGTGTAAATTAATGAAAACAGGTATATAACTTCATATATGGTGACCAAGTTAGTTACATTCATTGATACGTAAGATCGATTTACGTCATTTCTTCAACAGGAACTATTTTTTGAAATGTCATGAAACATTTCTTCTTATATCCTTTTTTCATCAAACTTGGAAACCTTTTCTTGAATACATGTTTTCAATTACATGATTTATATAATATCTTCGAAAATAAGAATCATTTTTCTACGTGCATGTTTGTTGTAGATACAGTTGTCAATAGTCTTACTTTATGTGTACTGATCCCTTGATAAATTTAAGTAAGAAAAAAAAAACAAAATATGTTAAGTAAAATGAATTCTTTGTATTTTAAGTTTTCTAATCAGCTGAAAACTGGCCTAAATTTACATAAGTGATATTATTGTGAAATGTTTAACATTACCATAATCAATCAACTTTGATTCTACTTCAATTCCGTCGACCGAAACAGGTACAATTGCTATAAATCACTAAGTAGCTAACTATTAAACATATCCTCTTATATTTGTATGTAGTTGATGCTACTCACAAGTATGTTTGTAAGTATTATGTAGTGGAACGCGGCATTGAAGTTGTAACAATTGTCAGACAGAATGAAGAGTTTCAATGCATCAAAATTACAGCGTTGGCAGAACACTTGGAGACCAACGAGAAGATGGTTCAGACGGCAGAACACACCGAAAGATACAAACTGGCGATGGAAGACTACGCATATGTATCATGTAACTTCCTGCAATAAATATGCATTCTTCCTGCTTATTTTTGTGTTTCATATGTGAACTACCGTGTTTGATTGCTGTTTAGCTTAAACGATCTTTGATCACATATTTGTTACAATCATACTGGTGCATACATTATACATGATTATATCAGATCGTATGTAATTCACGTTTCAGGGCGTTTGACTGTCTAGTTGATCGAAATAAGACTATTCAAGGTTTCCTGAAAAAATTTATTTGATCTTTGAACCTATTAAATTTGCCACGTTGAAATAACCAATTGATTTTCCATTTATTGGTTGATAACTTTCTTTCGATTATTATGAATATTTTTTAGGGATTTAATGGAAACAACTAAACCTTTTCTGGTAAATACAATACGGGTGCCAGCATTACCGACTTTGTTATTATACTGTCGGGAAGTGGATACAAATGCTGACATTTCAAGGTTTGTAACGAGTGTAAGCATTTTCAAATCTTATTGCCATTATTAGTAACCCTAAAATGATGGAGATTTGCACTTTGACTGTATACTTTTGGTGTTGTTAAATTATCTAAGCTAGACGATTTGATTATGAAACTTTAATTTTTAATCTTGACAACATCTACTTTACGTACTTATCCTACAAGTGTTAAGTCAGTTTATTCTGGTGGCGTTGTTTGTGGTTGGTTGGTCTTATTGTTCCTTGTATTCAGTTTGACTGTCTTGTTCGGTCGACTTCTGACCATACGGTTGGTTGCCCTTTTTCATATGGGTATTGATATTATTAATAATTCCTAATGATTGTAAGCAGTTATATATATATATATATATATATATATATATATATATATATATATATATATATATATATATATATATATATATATATATAAGTTATTACTCTTGCAATCTGCTACTCAGACTAGTGATCATATTGCAACTCAGTAGGTCAAATTCGATTGCAGCTGGGGGACTAGATAAACGTGTCGTTGGTACTATATAGTGATTGATCAGTATGAATATTTAAGTCCTTTAGACCAATCGCAGCTCGAATAGTTTAGTGATAGTATTCCTGTCTGCGATACTGTGTGACAGGTTTTTCCTGAATCCCACAGGTATCATCATTTCTGTCGAAATTGCATATACTGCTAATTATCTCCTGATATGGTGAGCCAATTAGAAGTAGCCTAATGAGAAGGTTAGTCGACGACAATGAGCAGTGACCCGAAGGACAAGTGCATTTCATTGGCTAAGAAGTGGATCAGTTTCTTAAGGATTGAAGTGGTATATACATAAATGAGTGTTTGTGCATTTTATTCGGTAGCCCAAAACGCTTTCTCACTTATGCAGTCAGTTGTATCAGTATCACATTTTTGATACTGCCCGCCACAACACCTCCAACCACCTAACATCAGTTCTTTGATTTATTTGGAGTGTATGAAAGTGATATATCTCTTCTGAAATACGATTCAAAATAATTTATTTCCTTACTGGGCATCAATATATAGACCTACAAGAATGTTTTAAACAATGTGAATGAAGATGTATTTTATTTATTTATTCAAACACAAGCAATGGTACAAAGGGATACCGAATACATATGCGCCACACAAGTCACTTGATTTGTGTGTGGTCTATGATACTGCCCGGGTGCCTAAACCGAAGCACGTGGTTTTCTTAAGGGGCCACACCCGGAGCCTTTAACCTAAAGGTCTGATCCAAAAGGCAGTGGAGCGCCGTGAGCAGATGCAGTCCCATGGCAGCCAGTGATCAACAATAGGTTCATATGCCATTTGTTCGTTCAGGATATTGTAGCCCATGTGCACCATTGGTTTGGAATCAGGGTTTTCCAACTCCCCTAGGTGGACTGTCCGTGTTCACCAACCCAGTTAAAGCGCCTGACATTCTCTTTTTGTCCTCTCAATTTCGTGAACAACACCTCCGCTGTGAGAAGGCAGTGAGTAGGACTTCTTAGACAGTGGCTGTATACGCGTGGCCATGTCCCGAGAGAGCATTTCGAGAAGGAGAGCTGACTCTTCTTAACTTCGACCGTACCAGGGAATTTGGTATCGAATGAAGACGAGATAAGTTTGTTGCACAAATTGAAAGTATTTTGAAAGGAACAGAAATGAATAATTCTAAGTTTTATAAAACAATATTTTTATGACTTTAGTTTATGTATTCATTGGAGAGACTGAATGCATTCCAAATCTATGTCTTACTATCGCAAACTAACTGTTTCAACTGCACTTATTGGTTGAAAATTGTATTAAACATTTACTTATAGTTATATACTGGATTACAATCAGTTACAGTTCAAAAGAGACTGTTTGTAATTTACGCTAATACTGTCCACTCGTGTATTTCTCTATAGTTGATATCACCGTAAGCTTGAAAACTTGGCGCACGTTTAACTTCTATTTCTAAATCATTATTGACCTATCAGCTGTGAACTCTATGGTTTTCGAGTTAGTGAACTTAGATATGTGACTTAGTGGTCGTCGAATCACGTTCTAAATTTTAAGTATTGTCTTGTGTAATATGAAAGTAATTCAACCCTAGAAACTTCAAATCTGTTTATAAACCTTTGAAAGCCTATAAAATGAAAAACTATCACATACATTGAAGTTTCATAGCTTTTTCGGAGACAGATTTTTGGATTTAATTGTCTGTGTACTCATTAACCAATAAAGGGGCATAACACTTTTTGTTTCTCTCAATGTCGGTGGTGCTGTAATGTAACTTTACCTAAGTTCATAGATGGTGAAGCTATAAACTGTAGAAACAACCAACTAGAATTTAATTTCAACTACCCAAAAAGAAAATTTTTGATCACAACTTATCTAGTAACGAAAATTATAAACGGTTAGATTATATCTCTCTAATTAATCACTCATAGTGTATACTACAAGTTTTTTACGCTATGGGTTAAATAACATGTGTATGGAAGTGTATATATTTAAGACAAAGGTGTTTTCATACTAGTATAATACATACTAATGCAATACTATTTGATCGGTAAGGAATTGTAATAAAAGTATTTTTGTCATTTTCATACGTACACATGAGAACGTTTAATTCAGTAACATTTACCCCAGTTACTATCCCTTATTTATGTACCAATCAAATAATATTAACGATAAATCAGATATCACTTAATGTAACTAATTTTTTGGGTGATTGTTTGTTTATTATGCAGTCTTAAAGAAAAACAAAAAGTAATCATGTGGACAAATGTTTATCAATCATATTCCTCTCTCTCTCTCTCTCTAGTCATATGAGCTTTCTTTACTGTTTACAATAATGATGAACGCGTAGTCACAATTACAAACTTCAATAATAATAATATAATAATAATAATAATAATAATAATAATAATAATAATAAGTAGATTAACACAGTGATAACGAAATCTATCAGAGTAATAGTAATAATAAAATTCATTTTATACATCTAATAACACATACACAGCCAGAAAAGCAGTCAATTTAGTCAATCATATTTACATTAAATATGCATACAAATGCAAGATGAGTTAAATATAAGTCATTTTAATAAGTCCGAAAATCACTATTTATGAAAGTAAAACAATTAAATATTTGTGTAATATCCTGTAAATTTCAGAAATGAACCATAGTTTATCATTAGGAAAAAAGAAGAATGTATTCGTAAAATCTCAGCGAATGAATTTGAAGTAAACCCAATGTTTCACCTAGCACTCTGTTCCAAGCTTTCTCAAGGAAATATAATCAAATGTCAAAATTATCGAATATAAATAAGTATATGGATTTTCGGTTAAATGTATTCTAAATAGGTCTTTTAAATATATTCCTCTTCCTTAATGTCTCACATCAACTCGGCGCCCAAACACTGAAATTATGCTATCAGATTTAGACGAAAGTTTTCACATGCTCATTTATCAATGATATTGAGTAATGATATTTATATATTGTATTGGAAATTGATCAAAGTTTAAATTGATGATTATGATATTTCACCAGGATTTCTGAATAATATCACCACAAAAATAAGAAAAGAAGAGTTATTAACCATTCAGTTAATGTGTACTTCTGATTGTTATTATCAAAAAGTCACCACATTTTGCGTTTAAAATTAACCTAAACATAGATGAAGTGATAAAGAGGTCAGTAAAAAAGAATTTAGCTCTAGATAAGGAAAAACCTTTTCTTTGTTTCATTATCTAGAATGATTCTAGTCATCAGTAGGGTTACTACTTACTCTTGAAGAATGATAACGGTAATATGTGAATAACTTGAAGTGGATGTAATTTATACTTTGGTAAGTTTCAAATCAGCATGACCTTTTCAGTTAACATTTCAAAGAAAATAATACATAGTATAGTCAGCCTTTAAAGTACCGAACCTCTATACTTTTTCCTTTGTTACATTTAATTTCTACATTCTTTTGAAAGAATATCCTACGTAAACAGTAGTTTAATAGGTTAAGTCAGAGGTTACTTTCATCTGTCATCGATGTTTATCAATAAAATAACTTAGTGTCAATGTTAAAATGCTTCTAACTGACTAGTCTAAATTATTAAACTCAATAGCAACATTAAAATCTTTCAATCGCGTTGCGCAGTTTAACATTTATGTTTCAGTGAAAGTTTACGAATAAATGATGTATGAGCTAGTACTGCATTCTTATTAGGAGTTATCCGTAGATTTTTATCCATTCATTCAGCGATATTTACAATCCAAACATCGATTGATTGGTGGATTTGTTAATCAATAATGTACTTACGGTTAGTTCCATCTGACTAATATATATATCCATAAGTGGACACACTAAGTTTCGATTCTTTTTTCTTTTGTACTTAAATCTTCATCATGTGATCTAGAAAGATTTGCGCATAAAATTAATTATTTTACTCTACACCGAAAAGCTAAACGGAAGAGTTGGTTACTAGTGATTTTCCTAAAATGTAATTGTACTGTAAATATTCTACTCAAAACTTGATAAGGGTATTATTTTCAACTGGTTGTTTGATGTACTACTAAGCTTCTCAATATTTTATTGTAACAAGAATGAAAACTGATTAATTTACGAAATGAATATTGTATAATTACATTTTACCTAATCTCTTTATTGATGTTGCGTAGTCTCTTAGGTCAGGTTATGTCAAATATTCCTTAGGTAATCTGACATCATGTTTGTAACAATTATTGTTGTGTGTATAAATATAACTCTATAATTAAGTTTACATTGTTATTGTACACTTTGAACTTGAATCATTTTGTGAAGGTTTTGATTCTGAAGTGAATAGGGTAAAGTTTTGAAATATTAACACAGTATTGGTGTGTGTCTATTTATACAATATCTACTGGAAGTAGAAACAACTTGAATACTTCAGTGGTATTGTATTTAGCTACGGCATCCCATTTTATTTGTTATAAAACACAAAAAATCATTTTACCGATTCATAGTATGACTGACTTCAAATTAAGTCGATGTAATAAATTGCACTGTCTAAGCTCAGTATATTCGTGAACAATGAATGAACTTGACTTTGATCTTAAGAAGTGTGTTTTAGAAGTTTTCGTTGAACAATATTATGCTTAGACGCAGTGTCAGGCAAATCGTGTGATTTACTCAATAAGTTTGTCATTGTGAGCTATTAATTACGTCTGTTACTCCTCGTGGAGTATAGGCTGCCGACCAGGAATCTTCAACCTACTTTGTGCTGGGCTCTCCATTCCAGTTGTTCTCAAGTGCTGTCTACTCTTAGTAATTGGCTGTGCAGATTATCATATGCTCACTAGTGACTAGCTTCTAGATGAAATTTCTGGAGATCTACTGAGAGGCCGTGACCAGTGGAGCTAAACCGTGTCGGGTGTGAGGCAGTCACCCACTGCAGAAGGTGGGAGATATTCGCTCAGTACCGTGAATTGACTGAATTTAGACAATATAGTCACTGGTTTCTAGTTTATCGATCTGGAAGTTGGGCTTTCGCGCGCGACATCGAAGGTCCTGTGTTCAATTCCCGTGTGGGGGTCGTGAATGCTCACTACTGAGGGGTCACATACTAGGGCAAAATAGTTTTTCATTGCCATGATCTGTGCTTCCGATTCCCGACACAATGTATTCTCTTGGTCTATCTCTTTTCGTTTTACCTTGAGCGTTCCAAGTTAGGGCTTGCTTGGTGATGCAGTTTGATGATTTCGGCAGTGTTTGTTGTAGCTGATTGTGGGTTATGTTTAACATGTATCGAAGCATCGGTTACCATGTTATTCAGTGTTAAGTGTAGCATCCATGACTTGTAACAAGGTTAAGGGTGACCAGAATAAAACATTGCACACCAATTCCTAAAGTCATTGAATGTTTATTTAAACCCTAGTGATTTCATTTAGATGTTTGCAGTCGGTGAGTGAAGATACTCGTTCAAACCATCAAGTGTTCCTGTACCCAAAAGCGATTTCATTTTATCCCTTATTTTAGTCAATTAAATAAAACTAATAACTTATAACATAACAAATTTCTAATTTAACAATGACAGGATTGTTTTCGATTCATGGTTAGAAGTACGATTATTGGATGTTGAAGCTGCACAACGCGCTGTAGCTACTACTATTTGGTTACGTTCAACAACGCAATGTCTTATGGAATGTGAACTTGCAGGTATTTATAACAATCAATTCAGTTTAGAGATTTCATAATAAATCAACATGAATTACTTTGAATTTCGGTTAGCTGTAATATTAGCAATCATAATGGTAAAATGTAGTCTGTCACCTACAAGAATGGTGAATTTCATCAACACCTAGTTGTATATATAAAACTAGAGGCTTCAACTAATATTTACTGGCTAATGATACTACCTTCAATTTATTTTAGACCAGGTTAGTCAAACTGGAAATTAGTAGTCAGAAAATGAACTATCGAGGAGATATCAAATTGGTGTTTTCTATATAAGGTTGGATGATGTGAAAATTAATTTATGGTTCATGACTACCTGATATTTTCTGTCAGCTTTGTCTAACTGACTGTAGGGATGTTTCGATATTACTGAGTCAATTAACTACATTAATACCAGCGTGTTACAAAAAGGTAAGGCATACGTAAGATGCTTTATTAGTTATGTCTTTTTGTGACCTTAAGAAGTTGTGTCCAAGTTATGGGTGAATAATAATTCTTATTGTTTATATTCTACTTATATTCGACCTTAAATTTTGTATTTTACGTTATTAACATAATACTTCATTATTTGATTTACAATGTTTAATTTCCAGTTGATTGTAAGGAATGATTATTTTTTTTATATAGATAAGTTGATTATATAGGGTCAAGCTGTGATAATAGTGATGATGATCATTCATAGTTTAAATGATCAAACTTATAAGAATGCTTAATATAAAATATCTGCATTCCTCTAGACAGAAATGTGACTATTATCGCATCTTAATAGGCATCTTACTCTCATACTGTTAGCTTGTCCACCAGGGTTCTTGCTACCTATGTGGTTTCGCCACAGGGTTTATAGTGTATGCTACTTATATCTGTCAGCATTAATAGCATGTGCCACACTGTTGTGCTGTCTAGTCTCTAAACAACCTGCTGGATGAAGTCTAGTTTTCTTGACGACCAATGTAAAATTACCCTCTTACTGGGCAATTTAGTAGTTAAGACTTTGAACTTTCAGTCATCATATAGCTAGCTTCTCTCTGCCTACCTCATTTTAGACAGCAAACTGTCTTTACGTTATTAGTCTTCACACAGTGTGTATCCAATATATATGGTAAGTCATTCATTGTCTTCATAAAACATTGAGTTAGTGGATTGTACAACATCCTACTATTGATTGATGTATTGGTTTTTTTCCTATGAAGTTGAATTTATTTAGTGCATCAAAATGATCACGATCGATAAATATGTTTATTTAGCTGAATCTTTTTAGTTCCACTAATTGACATAATAAACGGAGTCACCCTATGTATGGAAAAAGGTATGGTGTATTACTGTGATCAATATTGCCTTTGGTATCGTCATAAAATATATCAGTTGTACAGGTGTTTGATGATTGTATCTTTGCTTTGTTTTTCGAAAATTTGAGGGTTCCGAAATAAAAATATTCGATGACTGTGTATAGGTAATCATTACTGTCTCCATAGCACTTCTCGTATTCTATAAGTAGATTATGTTAGGAATGCTGAACTCCGGTAGTATTTGTTTAGGATTGAAGGTCGATTTTCAACAATGTTGTGTTTTGTAGTCTGATTTAGTCATTGTCATGAACCTAATGTTTGACCGATCACTTGTGCGAAATGGGAAGATCAAGGCTATGTGAAAAGTTGTAATGACAATAATGAAAAAAGCTGTTCCCAGCTCATGCATATTTATTTGTGGGTTTATAAATTAAAAGAACACGTAGAAGGCAACCTTGACCAGATGAATAGTTTATTCATTCATTACAGTGTACTTATCATCCGATGCTGAGATGGTTTATGATTTGTCTGATTTTGTCCTAGCATATCAATGTTTTTTTGTTAAAATGCTGGTCTTGACTAACTGAATAGTTCACCACTTTATCACTAACATTATTTCTTAATGGAAAAAATACAAAGTTTAGTATCATGTAGTAGGAATGTTAACTTTATCAGATTTTAACTGTTTTTTACCCATTTATTATTAATGTTCACATATTTTAGAATGTTTACGTCGTCGTGATCAAACACTCATTGATGATAGTGGTAACGGTTGTGATAATGGCAATACAACAACTAATATATCAACAAAATATTGTTCTAAAAAAAGTGGTAATCAACGAAAAATTCGTCGGCTACAGCGTATGTTGTCTCATAGTTTAGCAGCATTTTTAGCTGGTCAACCTGGTGGAGCATATTCTATTAAACGATTATTAGCAGCTGATGTAAAACAATTGTTTCGAAAACAGAATAACAATGATAATAATATCTGTGAGAATCAATGTAGGTTTTTGTCATATCTTCCAAAAAAATCAGATTATTTAATAGTATTAGTGAGGCCTGTGTGATGAGGCCGTCATTATGAGAACAGTTGTGTTTTCTAGTCCAACCATGGATTAATTTAAATTCAATGTATGCCTATGGGATCGATGAATTGTTTTATCAATGACCCAATGACCAGTAAACAACAACTGAGAGCTTAATACTTATTGGTTTTCGAGCAACTTCCAACCCAGTGTCCAGTTCATATTGTACTTTATTATTTAATTACTTGAACACAGAAATATTGGTACAAAGGGACACCGAATACATATGCGCCACACAAGTCACTTGATTTGTGTGTGGTCTATGATACTGCCCGGGTGCCTAAACCGAAGCACGTGGTTTTCTTAAGGGGCCACACCCGGAGCCTTTAACCTAAAGGTCTGATCCAAAAGGCAGTGGAGCGACGTAAGTAGATGCAGTCCCATGGCAGCCAGTGACCAACAATAGGTTCATATGCCATTTGTTCGTTCAGGATATTGTAGCCCATGTGCACCATTGGTTTGGAATCAGGGTTTTCCAACTCCCCTAGGTGGACTGTCCGTGTTCACCAACCCAGTTAAAGCGCCTGACATTCTCTTTTTGTCCTCTCAATTTCGTGAACAACACCTCCGCTGTGAGAAGGCAGTGAGTAGGACTTCTTAGACAGTGGCTGTATACGCGTGGCCATGTCCCGAGAGAGCATTTCGAGAAGGAGAGCTGACTCTTCTTAACTTTGACCATACCAGGACATTTGGGGGCTCCATATTGTACAGTAGTTCCTTTTAGCTAAAATATTCATGTATTTATTCGGATGAATTATCGGACAACAAAATCTCAAATAGAAAATCATGATTTATACATAATAAATCCATAAGTAGTAGAGAATCGTAAGAGGGCGAATAATTAACTAGTAATAGTCAAGTAGCAGTAGAGAGTATTGCTACAGCTAAGGAGTCTAATGAATGTATACAGCACGAAGAATATAGAAATACAGTGATCCATATAACTAATAGTTACACAAATAAAGACATAAAAAATGATAATCTGCAAAATATAATTCCAAAAGTTACAATTTCTTAAATACTCGTTTCATAACATCAATTCTAATGAAAGCGCTATTCTTTTTGTATATTAAGTGGAATGGGATAGCGGTGTATTCAACTAGGCCGTTCAGTGTTTAAATTAATCGATGACATTGACTAGCAGTCGCACTATATCAAAAATTCGGAGTTGAAAAATGTAGATCAATAGACATATGTAGAGAGTCCTCCTCAGTGTGAAAATTGGACATACAGATTTCAATCGCGTATGGCGTTTTAACGAGATCTCAAAATAAAATAATAGAGCTTATTAACGATTTTCCTCCGGTTCCTCATGGTTCTTCAGGAGGTAATATTCGGTGAATAAAATTGTTTACAAGTTGAAATTTCTCTGACATTCTTATATTCACTGATCTACTCTCACATACTGCCAACTCTCAAAAAAGCATTCAAGCCCCCTATTGCGCTTTGGTTAATGACAACTTGTTGTTTCAACCTGTCAGTCGATAAGAGGCGCACGAACTTTTAACCTCTGATATATAAATTTCGATCATTTATTTGAATAGATGCAATATACATTCACAACGACCAAGATCACTATGAACTTATGAACTTACTGAAGATTTTTCTGTTTTCAAAATCTAACCACTATTACTTATTTAATGGTCTCATCACATGTAATAGATATTTTGGAAAGAATATTTAGTCGTATGATTTCATGAATTATTTCTTAAGCTATATAACAAATACAGCTTTTTAGATTTTGTTCAGTATTTCAGTACCGCAAATAGCAGTATGACCATACGACTAACTGTTTAACTGTAAAATTAAATTATACAATGTAAGAATGCTCTGATTCGCCTACCTTGTATTTATTCCAAGAAGCGGTTCTCTAAAATATTCTCTAACTATATAAGATCGCTTTGTATAGTTTTTACTTGTCATATGATTTTACGACTAATTTTCATTGTTCTTTAATTTATCACCTTCCACATTTATATGTTTTGTAGCTCAATCTAAATCATTGCCTAAAATTTGTAAGAAAATAAATCTAGATGACATTCCATTACAAGAACCAGATCATGAATCGGGTATAACGTTTAATTTATTCAAAGGAGGTTATCAAGTTACAGATTACCTGAATATTGATTCGTAAGTAGGGATTTTGATATTAGTTTTCTGTTTTTCCTACTAATAATAAATACTCACTATATGTTAATAAATGATGTTAATCGACCAGAGAATTTAGTATATGGTTGCTAATTAGAGTGATAAAACATTGAACAATGACTTACTAGTTGGAATACTTGGTTTTTAACAACTATTTCTCAGGTTTGAACTTGCTCATAGCTTTTATCGTGAACTATATGCGATAACATCTGAGGACACTCAGTCGCATGATATTTGGGACTACCCGAGCGGTCGTCATGAACCAATAACTCCCAGTTTTATGAAGGTCTTTCATTCGACTATACAATACCTCCACACTTCCCATTTAGTCCCAGTTCAAGCAATTCGTTATACGAAAGCCATTTAGAAGATATTCCTACAACTTGCCTTCTTTTGCCAGAGTTTCGTTCTCTGAGCTGACTGGCTTAGTCGTGAAGCTCTCATCGTCTCTTTGAACAATCTAATCAAATACAAACTTCAGATCAAAATGAGCTATCCAAATTTCTCCACATATGATTAATAACTTGCTCTGTTGACCTTGGTTTCGACTTGTTTTTGACCTGCTTATCTTGCCATTTTCTGCCTATTCATTTTGGTTATCTTCTTCGATTCGATCTGATGGTTGTTCATGATTTTTCCAACCGATTGATAATTTGGATCAGTTTTGGTATGCTCATTGATTTGACCTGTCTGTTAATTTTCTAAGAATTCTTTTGTCTTATGTGTATTCTGGCTTTCCAAGATATCACGTTTTACTAGCCGAACGTATATCCACAATTGCCTATGTGCACTGCTATAAGCGAAGATACATATTGGGGTTTGATAGATAGTTGGTAGTCGTGAGGATGAAGATGAACTATCTAGCTCCACTAAAATCACTTCCCTAAATTAGGAGTCTTATTTTCCATCTCAACCTATCTAATTCACTAAAACATATGTTACAAGAATAGTAACAGTAATAGAGTTCTCCTAAATATGACTGAACATGCAGTGCAGGCGCTTGACTTTACTGAGAGATGTGATTGATCCCCAAAGTTAACATTAGTTAAACACAGCAAGTCACCGGACATTATTAAGTTAGTTTTTACAAGCATACAGGGAACCGCTCTTACCTACGCATTATATACCTTACCTCTTACGGCCAGGCTAACTTGGCGACTAGTATGGATTAGGCAATATGGAATAATGAATAGGGAAGAAATAACTGTCCGATGCTCTTGATATTTTAGTTCGGTTTATGTCATTCCATGCTAAAATAGAGATTTTCCTCAGAATAATCAGTCGATGCAAAACACTTTCCAAGTAATTCTATTATTTCAGTAGTTGAGATCGAGTCAAATGAAGCTAGATCACCATGGGAAACCTGGAAGCACTGGACGACCGTTTCGTCCTATCATGGGACTCCTCAGCAGTGCGCATCCACGACCCCGCCTCACGAGATCCGAACCCAGGACCTATCGGTTTTCGCGCGTGAACACAGCCTCTAGACCATTGGGCTGGCATCCAACGGTGTTAACGTCGAACTTCATCTAATCCACGAAGTTGAGCGACATCCACCATTGTCTTCAGTAAGTTACTATCTCACAACAGACCCGGTTGAACTCCAGTGCTCCTAGGTTTTCCGTGGTGGTCTAGCTTCAACTGACTCATGATCTCAACTATTGAAATTACTATAATATTCACAAAAACCCCTTCTGCTATTTATTTTATTGTTGTTATTAATATAAATGAGATGGACACATTTATGTCATACTTATTTTACGTTTTTCTTTCATAGATTATACCCTGAAGTGATATCAGTTGATGGTCGATCGAATGTAGAAGATATTGATGAGCCAGACTATCATGATCCGAGTAGCAGTTATAATCTTGCTGTACGATTACGAAAACAAATCGCTTGTGGATCGCTTAATGAAGCTTCCAGTGATGATAATTACAAATGTTTTAATGAAAATATATCGTTATACGAATCAAATAGAAATGAAAATGAGAGAGATTATTTTGAAAATGATAACTATTTAGATGAATGTAAAGCTACTTGTGAAACCTGTGGTAAATTTATTACAGTTCAGGGTACTTTGCAAACTTCTATGTTGAGGCATCGAAGATACTGTCAACCGTATAATGATTAGAAATTTTCCTGTCATATATATATATATATATATATATATATATATATATTTCTTACTTGACATTTTATTGGATGATTTATTTCATTTTATGCACATGTGACTTGATTTTTATAGTTAACTCAATTAACGCAAGATGTCAAGAATAATAAGCTATCTACTAGTTGTATTGCTTCCCTTGGAATTTTTGTCAATTTTAGTTGAGTTAGGGAGTTTTTTTAAGGCTAAGTCAGTCAGCTACAACGTAGGACCAGGTACATATATGCATCGGTCCAAGTTGCCATACCTCATTAACACAACAAGATGGACACCGGATTCATAAAAGTAGTTAATTCAGAGGTGGTAATATATAAAAGAAAGATTGCATATAAAGATATAGTACAGGAAAAAAGAATTAGTTCGTAGAAAGAAAGATATGAAGCGATTTTAATCTCTTAGTTTAAGGGAAGACAGAGTGTATACATCGACGCCATTGTGATCGATTCTGAGCCATGTCACCAAGAGTCTCCAACCATTGGTTACGAAAGTCACGCGGACCCCAACCAAGTAGTCTGCATCTACCAACATGGCTCAGACTAGAAGTTAGTTACTTCAAGCACTGATGCCACGTTTTGGTTTGGCCGCCCCTAACTTTCTTCCAACCATCTCCAACACCGGTTAGCATTGCACGTCGTGGTAATCGGTGTTCAGGCATACGTAACACGTGGCCCAACCATCTCAGTCGATGAAGATTCACAACCTCATCAACTGATTTACCATCATTCCCTAATACCCTGCGTCTAACCTCACTATTACTTACCCGGTGATCCCAGCAGACGCCAGCAATATTTCTAAGGCATCTGTGGTCAAATACTAGTAGCTTACGAGTGTCTTCTACTCTTAATGGCCATGTTTCGCTGCCGTAATTTAGAACAGAACGGACTGCCGCGCAGTATACTCGTCCTTTTATTGATAGACGGATATCTCGCCTTCGCCATAGGTGACGTAAGTTGGCAAAAGCCAAACGAGCTTTTCGAATCCGTGCTGAGATTTCGTCAGACACCAACCCATTAGGGCTGATCAGACTTCCAAGATAAGTGAAGTTGTCAACGCGTTCGACTACTTCACTCCCTATCCTTAGTTCAGGTGTTGACGCAGACCAGTCCTGAAGCAACAACTTGCATTTAGAGGGAGAGAAGCGCATTCCAAACATCCTGGCATTGTTGCTTAGTGCTACCAAAAGACTCTGCATTTTATCAGCGTCTTCACCAAACAGGACTATGTCATCTGCGTATTCTAAGTCGATAAGTGGACCTCCTGGAAGGAGATCAATACCCGAGAATTCAGTCGACGAGAATGTTATTTCCATCAGTAGGTCTATGATGAAGTTAAACAAAAATGGAGAAAGTGGACAGCCTTGACGGACACCACTTGAGGTTGCAAAAGCAGATGACAGTTCGCCATAAGCTCTGACTCGACTAGTAGTGTTCGAGTAAAGAGCCTTCACAAGGTTTATGTACTTCTGAGGTACGCCTTTCAATGACAGACACTGCCACAGAATCTCGCGGTCTACCGAGTCAAATGCTGCTTTTAAGTCAAGAAAGACCACCATTGTCGGACGCCGATAAGTATGCCTATGTTCTAGAACCTGACGAATGGTGAATATGTGGTCGATGCAGCCACGACCAGGTCTGAAGCCAGCTTGATTCTCTCGTGTTTGCAGTTCACGAGTCTTAGTTAGGCGTCTGATAATTATCGAGGCTAGTATTTTAGATACTATATTAGTTAAACTAATCCCTCTATGGTTGTCACAGGATGATTTTAACCCTCTCTTATATATTGGGACGATAAGTGATTGTGACCAGTCAGATGGGATAACGTCTAACTCCCAGATCTTAGCTAAAATATTAGTCAACCTAATCGCTAAAATTGGACCACCATCCTTAAAGACCTCTGGAGCCAATCCATCTGGACCAGCTGCCCTTCCTCGTTTCAGATTAACTATAGCCTTTTGAACTTCTGCTAGAGTTGGGGGACCTACTTCAATGTTCCATTCACACTGTCTGGGAATGGAGGGTAGTTGTAGAGTAGCTGAAGGCCAGCTGAAATGTTCCACCCATCGTTCTAAACGTCTGGACTGGGAGCAGATGAGTGCCGACTTTTTCCGAAATAGTCTCACTTACACTTGACTTATTAATTCCAGTTTCTTTTATTAGTCTGTAGAGCTGTCTTGTGTTCCCTATAGCCGCCGCCTTTTCCATCGCTTTTGCTTTCGTTGACCACCACTGCTCACGGTCGTTCCTTAGACTTTTGGTTAACCTAGATCTGATTTGTTGTCGCTCTCCATCGTGTTCAGAGCCTGATGGCATGAGTTTACGAGAATCCATCAGTGCAACAGACCTTGAGGAAATCCATTGGTTCTTTGTAACCCTGTGGTTTTAATCACTGATAGATGTCACTGCTGTTTGTATAGCTTTCCAAGCAACATCTGGGTCAGCCTCGTTTTCAGAACTACCTAAGTGTGACCTCAGTTGTTCCTGGAACAGACTTTTGGTTTTCTCGCTACTCAATTCAGTTCTAAAGGGTCTTTTTAGTGTGGCCTTTTTGCGTCCAGTGAGGCGCAAGCAGATGCGTGCCCGTATTAGGGCATGGTCGGAGTCCAAGCAGGTACTCCAGAATGAGCGACAATCTTCTACCGACCCTCTCCAACGATGACTGATGGAAATATGGTCTATTCGAGTCCATCGTTGGTTTGGTGTAGGGGGTCGTCATGTTAGACGATGTCTCTCCTTATGCTTAGAATTTGTGTTTGCTAAAAATGAACGATTGTCTAAGCACAGTTGCAGCAGACGATCACCATTATCTGTTCGTTGTGCCGAAATACTAAAATACCCACCTAAATGCCTTTCTGTTTGGTTTAAATTACCTATCTGGGCATTAAAGTCACCTTCTACGAGTACTATGTCTGAACGTTTAGCTTTCTGAAGAAGTTCAGATAGCTTTCTGTAAAATTCATCTTCCACTTCATCTGAGCTGCAGTCGTTGGGAGCGTAGGGAGAAACGACAAAAAGGCAACGACGTGTGTCCCTATCCTTCCGAGTTCTTACGGCGCCGTTTAGCTGAACAGCACATAAACGACCGTTAACGGGGATCCATTCTAACAGTGCTTGTTCCGCCCTCATGCTTAGTGCTATGCCTACACCACAATTTACAACTATTAACGACTATATCACTCACTCGATAGTTTACTTCGCACGAGGAATCTTGTGAACAAATTTAGGCACAAATACGTATGGGACAGGCCTGAACATTCAGTCGCCTCATTTGTTGTAGAGAGGTTGGTTGTAATTTCGTTGCATATGTAACCTCAAGCTGGTTTCTACCTAGTGCAATAACACCATACAGAAAAACAGCAAGAACTAAGACTTATAGAACTTCTTGACATTGTACAGTAAGATTAGACGTCATCTCCCAACCACATTGTAGAGTATCAGGTATGCTAAGTCGATTAGTTTGGATACACCCTAAATACCATAACAAACGAACACTTCGCAAAATGACTTAAGAAATAAACTATCTTAACTGACTAAACGGTTTGACTATATATAATACCAACAGGGGAATTCCTTTTCGGACGGATGTTAGGGTGAGCTTGTTTAGAAAGCCTTAAACAGATCCTAACAAACTGAGTTTATATTGGATTATAATTTAGTGATTTGTATCACTATCTAAACATACACCCCAACTACACGCTGAGTAACATGACGCTTAGTGATCCAGACGAAAATCAACGAACAACCTGCCGTTATATATATTATGAACAGTAGTGACTCAATGTGAGAAAATAAACAACTGAATGTGCTTACTGACCCACCATTTGCTAAATGACGACAAACTTAATGAAGCACTTACATACGTAAGGATACTGACCAACATAAAGCCATGGGACGAAGCAGCCGGAAAGACTACTTTAGCCAGGAACGCGATAGAGATTTACGAAACGATACAACCTAATCCAAACCCCCTAGTTTCAAGTGACTCGTTGGTGATATGTAGTGATTAATCATCCAAATACATACATCGAGCAAGCACACTATTTCTTATAAGTAGCAATTTTAACGCGATACAACATACTACTATTGTAACCACTTTAGAAAGAGTGCAGAAAACCAAGTTAGTAATAAATGATATATTTACAAGCAAGTAGATTACGGTGACAAGACTAAGTACTCTCCTTATTGAACTTCGACGGCCATTCCACGATGTGTTCAATAGAGCCGGCTTCATACTGCTGCCACATTCGAAAATAAAGGGCTTCTATGTCAGCAGTGTAGCTGCGACAGCTGAAAAGAGCAGACGACTCTCTTGCCTTCCAAACCTGTAAAATGAATATCGGAAGTGAATATACCAGACTTACTTTAGCCCGCATTGCTTGAAGATATTCACGGTTGTTCCCCAACTTGGTTGCAATTCGAACGTAGTCCTCCTGACTGTTAGCCACAAGCTCAGGACATCCCAACGTGTGAAGCTGGCTGGCCGCAACGCGACTTGCCAATGTTTCGAGTGGAAGGGTAACTACAGGACAACCAGCCCACAGAACGTCCATCCCAGTAGTATGTCCATTGCACAAAGGCGTGTCCAGACAGACATCAGCAACCTGTATTTATAAGTTATAAAGTTCTGGAAGCTTACCTGACCACGCCGAACATGTTCCTCTTTTGGAGCAACGTTGCTAAATAAAATTCGACGATTCACCTGCTGAAGACCCATTTCTGAGGCGGCTGCAAGTGCACCGGCTTCGCCAGCGGCTGGAAAGCGTAGCAGCCACAACACACTGTTCGGGACACCTTTCAGAATTTCAACCCACATTCTCATAGTTGATGGATCAACCTTATATAGCTGATTAAAGTTGCAAAAAACGACGGCATCTTCTGGCAAGCCATAGTGTTGCCTGGAAGTAAGAATGAGATCACGAGGCACTTCCTCACCAGCAGAAGCTTTGGATTGTGTTTGCTGTGTCACCAAACCATTATGAATAGTTACGCCATTAATTGTACAAGACGGACTGTTTGTACGAATCATGTTTTGTATAGGCTGTAACGAGGGAATCGTTAACACGGTGAGCTTTGTGAAGTAAGAAACCTCTTTACGTTGGCTGCCATGAATCTCAACCAAGCGACCTCCATAAGTGACTTCGCGCACACAAGCAACTTGTAGTAGAGGTTTGATATCCAAGCCACTGACAACGATGGAATTATCTGTCACACGGCGCCCTGCGGTGGCATCTTCAGCGCTCTCTAGAATAACTCGGTTGCGTAAATGAGGAAACATCTGTTGATGATCCCCAATAAAAAATGTCTTGGGCATGTATGCCAACTTCTCAGAGTATTGATGGCTTAAGTGCATGGGAGATGTTACCATATCCGTGATGATGTAATCCATAAATGTCGAACCACTCGTGCCAGGATAACCTAGCCACATAGCTTGAATCGGTGCAGGCTTCAGAGCAAATATTTCATTACGTGCACCCTTTGTATAGCCATTCATGTTTAGAAGAATATGAATTCCATCGCTTGCGATTTTATCTGCAGCTTTTCCATGACACTGAATCCCACTTAGATCAACAAAGTGTTCAGCTTCATTCGCGACCTTTGCCCTGAAATTGGTGCCATCGTCAGGTGCGAGTGAGTAACAGAAAACCTCGACTTTAGTTCGATCATGCAGACCTGGAATACTTTGCATCAAGTGACTAGTTGGATGATTGCAAAAATCAGAACTAACGTAGCCAATTCTTAAACGTTGCCCAGCAGGTAATTTTTTGCTAAATCTAAATGGTTGATGATGCAGCAAAGACACCTTTTCCAAACACAGCGAAGCATGTTTTCCGGCAATCTTTTTGCGCTGGTCATGCGTCAGTGGGTACAACATGGAGTGATGAGGATGTACAGATGGCAGGCGATTTGATTCCAGCTGATCTTGTACCATGGAAACAAGTTTCTTCATCCTATGCTTGTAGTCAGACCAGTCACATACAATTTGCAGACAGTGAGCAAGGTTGCAAAACGCATCTGGGAAGTTAGGTTTTAATTTCAAGGCGGTCTTGTAGGATGTTATAGCATCGGCGAGGTTACCACTGTCCTTCAGAATGCTAGCTAGATTCGAATGAGCATCAGCGAAGGCAGGATTAATCTGAATAGCTCTTGATAACACTGCATCGCACCTTGAACATCCTGCAATTCTTTCAAGGTGTTCCCCATATTGGAGTAAGCGTCAGCAAACGTTGGTGATATGCGAATGGCTTCTCGATAGTGCAACAAAGCTTCTTGCAATTTTCCCTGTAATTGAAGCATGCTTGCGAGATTAGAATGAGCTACTGCGAATTCAGGATATATCTCAAGAGCTCGGACGTATAGTCGTATTGCTTCTTCCGCTTTTCCTTGCTCACGCTTGATGTTCGCTAGGTTGTTTAAAGAATCTGCATGCGTAGGACACAATCTCAGGGCTGTGTTGTAATATTCCTCAGCCTCTGAAACCTTTCCCTTTTCTTTGAGTGCATTGGCCAAGTTACAATAAGCATCGGGGAAATTTGGCTGCAATTCAATTGCTCTTTTGTAAGTATCGATGGCAAGATCGATAAGATTTTGCTCGTAGTAAACGCAGGCCAAATTACCGTGGACAACAGCGTTATTTGGAGATAATGTCAAAGCTCTTAGGTAGGCTGCTACTGCACGGTCAAATATACGAGCCTCCTTTAACACATTTCCAAGGTTGACGTAAGCATCCAGAAAAGTAGGATCCAAAGTAACAGCCTAAAAATTAATAATATAATCAAGACCCACCTTTTCGAAGTGATGGATTGCCAACCATATCTCATTTTGAGCATTGAACACACATCCCAGGTTGCTCCAAGCCACTGCGAACGTTGGACAGGTTTCAATCGCTTTCAGATAGCATGACTACAATAAAAACGAAAACAGGTAGAAAGTAGAAGACGCGGGCGCTGAGCGGCTGTCAACCGACAGGTCCACAGCTTAGCATGCGAGCGCAATCACTACCTAGAACAGACAGCGACTCACCACCCTTGAGCCGAACTTGATGAAATAACTTAAAGCGCAGTGCAAAACTTGCACTTAAGGGAACGCGCGAAGGGTAGGAGAAGGGGGAACTCACGAATGCATTTGTTCGCAGAACCAGTCCAGACTGAAGGATTGACGAACAGCAACCGATCGGAGACTGCACATAGCTGTTTGAAAGAAAAAATCTCGTTCATTAGAAAAACCGTAGGAGAGCTGGAAAGTTTGCTTGATTTACTAAGCAGCGCGGCGGCCATGTGGACCGCTATTTTAAAAAAACATAGCAAAATAATATCCAAGCAAACAATCGCAGCGCGCCGCGGCGACTTATATGCCGCCTTACTTTCGCCTCATCCAATCGTCCAAGTGCCTTTAGTAAGTTCCCCAGATCACTTCGTACACAATATAAATCCTAAAAAACTTGATAAGTCGCGAACGGATCATACTGGGTTGTACTGCAGTGCTGTTGCATAAGCGTTTACTGCAGACTCCATATCACCAGCAGCAACTAAAGCAGCAGCCAAATTAATGTATCCATCAATGAAATCGGGTTTTATTCTTAGTGCGTGTCTGTAGTTGTCAATTGCTTCTTTCAACTGCCCTCGCTCTTTGAAAACATTCCCGAGATTGGAATACGCCTCTGCCATTAGCGGGTTTTGTTTGATAGCCAACTGGCTGAAGTAGGCTGACCTTTCCATCCGGCGACACTGGAAGTGTATAGAACTGAGTAGTAACAAAGTAGATGTATTTTCCGGGTCCTGGTGCCATAATTGCATACAATGTTGTTCAGCCCGTTCATAATCTCCAGCTTGGTATTCTCTGTGTGCTAGTTCAGCAAGACCTGAACGAACATTGATAGTTAGTAACACGGAAGGATAGAAGAAAGACGCCTTGCGGTGCGGTACTTACTTGAAACATCCGTAAGACGCAAAATGGAACGCCTCTCAATCATACTACTTGAAGATCGACTCAGACGAAACAAAATGTCGTTAAGCGCCGTCGCCATAAAGTAAAGTAGCTCACATTAACAAACTAGTAGTTAAAAACATCACAACTTAAACTACTGAATTTCAATCTAAATTAATAGCATATAGTTCTTTTTATGTTTTCTACTACTCTACGACTACGATAAGTGTTCAACGGATTGTTTCGAAGTTGGGGGTCATCAGATAGTGACAAGATTTATGTTTATAATTTGATTCACCTGATTCTCACTTATGATCTTCCATTTGGATGATTAGAACTGATTAGTCTTGACAAGTTTGAAGCATGATCCTCCTAAGATCCCTTAATATTTGTTCCCAAACATTTGTTTATGCAAACGGCAAAAACCGTACCATATATTTGATGAACAGAAAAATGAACAGATAAAGGTCAGGATATACTTGATGGATGGACTGGATATGGGTTTGAATCATTATCCTTGTCTCAGATGAGTGACACTCCTGAAATGTTTGAAGTTTTATATATCACTCTCATGCTGAAACTTGTAAACAGTCTCTTCATCACCGGTTCAAACGGTTCAAATGGTTGTGGAAGGAATAGAAGAAGCTTTAGCTTAACAGGCTTCCGTGTCTAGTAGCAGGGGATCACAAAAACCTCCAGGCAGGAACCTAGGTATGTTAAAAATAAAAGAGAAAAAAGAAATTGTTAAATCATAGTGAGATACTATCCCCAATCCTTAAGAATAGATCAAGTTGCCTCTTAAAAGATTTCTGGGAAGTCGCTTGGACAAGCTCGGCCGGCAGCGAATCCCAGCATTTGACAACTCTTAATGAGTAGAAGTTTTTTCTACAGTTCGTTCTGCTATGTTGTGTCTACAGTTTCTGGGTGTTACCCCTTAGGTTGGTGTTGGAACTAAGCTTAAGTAGGTGTTTGAGAGGATGTCCAGATATGTTAAGGATACTGTAAGCCACCAGAAGTTCACCTCTAAGACGTCTATACTCTAATGGGTATAGGTTAAGTGATTGAAGGCGCTCTTCGTAAGTTTAAATTTGAGTCCTCGAACTGATTTCGTGGCTCGCCGTTGGATACGCTCCAGGGTGTCCTTATCCTTTTGAAGTGGGGGAGGAAATACTGTTTCCGTACTCTAAATGGGGACGGATGAAACTATTGAAGATTGTATGGAAAGTTCTTCCGTCAAACTGTCCAAAAATGCGCCTCAACGTTACCAGTGCAAGGTTTGCTCGGAAGGCATTTTTGTCACAGTTAGCGTAAGACTTTAAATCATGGGGCACCAGGACTCCTAAATCTTTTTCGACTTGGGATACTACTAGAGAGGAGTTTCCTAAGTTGTAACTGTAGTTTGCTACATGTCGCAGATGGACTACTTTACACTTTGAAGTGTTAAAGGTAAGTCCGTTATCGTCTGCCCAACTTTGAAGTCGAGTCAGATCCTCCTGAAGTGCCTGTATATCGTCTTGGTTGCGTATCTCTCTCCAAAGTTTCACGTCGTCGGCAAAAAGTAATAAGTCTGACGTTACCTGTTGAGGAAGATCATTTATGTAGATCAAGAAGAGAAGAGGCCCTAGTACTGAGCCCTGGGGGACCCCACTAGGACATTCCATAGCCTGAGATAAAGTGAAATTAACCCTAACCTTAAAGTGTCGATTTTTTAGGTATGAAGTAAGCCAATCGATTAGAGGTGGTTTGATACCTAGTCGTTTGAGCTTGTTGATAAGACATAAGTGGTTAACCTTATCAAAAGCTTTTGAGAAATCAAGGTAAATGACGTCAACCTTTCCCTTGCAATCGAGGATGCTTGTCCATTTGTCCACCGCAGTCAGCAGGTTGGTTATACAAGAGTAACCCTTCCTGAAACCATGCTGTTGGGGTGAGAAGAAATTTAAGGACAGTAAATAGTCATTTATACCATCGCATATCAGGGACTCCATGGTTTTTGAAGGTACTGAGAGAAGAGCCACCGGTCGGTAACTTGAAGGTTCATTGTGTCGACCTCCTTTGAAAATTGGTGTGATGTGAGCCAGCCTTCAATTTTCCGGTAGTGTGTGAGAACATCATGCTAAGCGGCGTTGCCAAGATTGAGGCTGCTTCCCTCAGTATGGCAGAATGAACCATATCCGGGCCAGGAGAAGTGTCAATTTTTAAGTGCTGCAGTTCCCGGAACACCAAATCAGCGCTCAGGTTCACTTCGGAAAGTCCTTCGGAGTTGCAGATGAAGCTTTCGTCACTATACTTTATGTGAGTCGGTTGAAATGTCCGAGAGTGTTGTTCAGCCAAAAGGTTAGCGGCGTCACCGTCGTCGTTGGTCGGGCCGTTAAGACCTACCAGTTGAGAAACTCCTGTTTTGGCTTGACGAAGAGAGGCTGCATAACGGAATAAGCTTTTCGGATTAGAGACAAATTTGTCCATGAGCTTTGTCTGGTACTGAAGCCTGTTTTCTCTTATAGCCTTCGTGCATATGTTTCATATATGTTTGTATTGCCTGCACGCTCCATTGTTGTCAGTTCGTTTGTACTCTGCCCAACGGTACCTTTTGCGGCTTAGCAGACGAAGAGTGTGGTTCCTGATGATTGTGGGTTGCTGATAGCTATAGGGGACCGTTTGAGGAACTGAATGATTTGTAGCACATATGAGCGTGTGCAGTAAGAAGTCCCAATGAGCATCCACATCGAGTTGAGGGTGAACATCCCAATCCACCTGTTGTGGATAGTCCCGTAGAGCTGACACATTCAACCGTTTGAAATTTCAGCCCAATTTGTTGGGGTGATATCTCAGCTCAGTTTTGCTGACGAAACTGAGAGCTATAACAGCGTGATCGCTTTTTCACAGAGGAGCCAGGATTGAGAGGTGTTCAACTAGGAATTCTTCGTTTGTGAATACACAGTCTAAGCGCGATAGTGTCTGACTGTCTCTCCAACGAGTTGCCGACCTCACATTTTCGTACAATCCCAAGTCATCGATGAGGTTGAAGAACCGAGATTCAATTGAGTTGTCGCCTCCAGTATACGTGTGTTCAGCGAAGTTGACTCTAGGGAGATTAAAGTCCCCTAGAATCAGGATGTGTGTGAAACCGAGACGAGTTGAGCGGGATAGTCCTTCCAGCATACGACTATCGTACTCGGTGTCGGCAGTTGGCTTCCTGTAAATGACTCCGACTAGACACCTCGAAGTACTAGACAATCTTACAGAGCACCATATAGGCTCCTTAAGATTGTTAAACTCGAGGTTATGAACTTGGTGCACCTCCAAGCAAGAACGTATGTAAACAGCTAGTCCACCCCCAATCCCTGATTTTCTGTCATTGCGGAACAAAGGCATCCCAGGTAATGCTAACTTATGGTCCGAGAACTGAGAAGATATCCAGGTTTCAAATATTCCTATCAGATGGGCCTTATTAGCGTTGCTAAGTTCACGTAGTTCATCCAATTTGTTTGGTAGACTCGCGGCGTTCATATATAAGCAGTTTATGCTTTCAATTTGGAACGCGTGAGCTTCGTCCTGTTTGTCTGTATGACCCTAACGTGAATGGACAGGTAGCCCACCTATATGAGGTTTGCCGAGGTGGTAGGCCCTGTCCTTTACACGTTTTTTTATCGTCTAGACAGTCCACACGTGGAATGGTCAGCTCCAATTAGCCTTTGTGTCTGGTCCTAGCTTCGTATGGCCTATCCGGATGCATGTGGATTTCAGGTGGCAATCGACGTCTGTTGGCACGAAATGCTTCCAGAGTTGCAGCCGCCATGTGGGAGGATGGGAAAGCCATCTTCATTAACCGGGGTCTAGAATCGCCGTCCTTCCTGGCTAGTCTCGTCACATGCTGAGTCAGTATGTGTTTGAGCCTCAAGGACTGTTTGATGAATTTCCATTCTCTGATGTCAGTCTTTGATTGAGTAGGGTCCGTATTTTCCGGCATACCTTGCACGATTATATTCCTCCCGCGGAAAAACTGATCGCGAGATTCTTTGGGGATGTTCCGGATGATATCGCGCTCAGAATACGGTATGTCAGGCAATATTCTTACATTTCCATCTGATTTCACTAAATGACTCGCTAGTAAGACATCCTCTACGTCGGTAGCATTCTTAAGTGTTACACGAAGTAGCCCCGGGTGATTTTGATGCTTCGGTTCTTTTCCCCGAGTGAGCCGTGTGACTGTCAAAGGTTCTATTCTTGGAAGTCCAAGTTTCTTGTCCAATTCTCCCCAGAGCATCCTATCATTTTTGTCGTGCAAACTGAGAGTAAGGTCAAGGTTGTCTTTGAAGTTCATGACTATAAGAGAGTCATCGCGAACCACTATTGTCGTCTCAGGTTTTCCGGTGCGTTCAAGTTTAGCACCTTGTTGTTTGGGGGTTGAAGCACGTTTATGAATCTTTGGCTCTTTGATGACCGGACGGACACTTTTGGGGGTAGACTGTGCGACCGAATCAATAGTTGACTTAGACGGTGACGCCTGGTCCTTTTTAGCTCTTTCAACGTGGGTCCAATCACCTACAGAGTTTTTGGGAACCACTATCGCGTTCAAGGACCCTGAGCTGTGAGACCCGAGTTCACTGAGAGAGTCGATTACCGTCGACGTAATGACGGTGCCGAGTTCCAACATGCCATCATTAGTGCTAATGCATGCTCCATCGATGGTAGACCTGTCGACATCCCTATTCTTGTTTTCTTTGTTTTCATTGAGCGCTCTTGTTTGTCTACCCGTTTTGTGACTGTCTTTTTCCAAGTTTGTTGACAACTTACTTTGCAGACCTGTCAGTTGGACAATGATGTTACTCAGCAAGACTACAGCATTCGTGCTGCACGTAACACATTACCACTTATGATCCGACTTGCTGAGTCTGTTGCACGCAGTTGCTGTGAGATCTGTGCACACTTCGTGGAACCAACCCTTGCAGTTGTCGCACTGCATGCCAGATGTAACAGCAAAACGGCATCCAGGTCGTTTGCATGAACTTTTCATGACTGTATTGACGTAAACGGTGTTGTAGATGCTAGCAAAGGCCTAAGACCGTAAGAAATACACTAAAATGCACACTGAAAACG